GCAGGCGCTGATATTGCTGCGGTTCAAGGAAACCGCGTGTCAGGTGGGGATCGACGCGAATAACCTTCTTTGACTTCATATGAGGCGGGAAGCGCATGAATCCGGAGTCGATCTTGGTGAATCTGCTGGCTTGCCGAGCTACCATTACTCCCACGGCTGTGGAGATAGCAGAAGCTGCCAAAAATCCGTTGACGAAGCCTCCGTGAGGCAGTCGCAAGTTCTTCAATGGGTGAGGGATAAGTTGGGAGATAGCTCCCAGGTTGTTTGTGATATTGTTGCTTCGGCTGAAGATGTAGAAGACTGGGATCAGTCCGCCCAGAACACCAGCAATTGTTTTGATAGTCGATGACGAGGAACCGGCCTCTTCGGGTGCTTTTTGGGAGACCACACGTACTGCCTTCGGCCGGACGTACTGCTGGGCATCCTTCAAAGTGCCTACCAGGAATGGTTGCATGATCTCACGGGCATCTTCAGAATGCCCAACATCTTCATAGTCTGCCGTAGCATCTGTGCCGGCTACCTCGATGAGAGCGTCTGCACCACCTGGGTGATCTTGCAGATATTTTGTGAGATCAAAAACTGCCGCAATGTTAGTCCTGTCTTTATGGTGCTCCTAAAAGGTTGTCACATACCTTGCCCGTGGATGACCATCCAGATATCACCCTTCGTGTTATGTGCTGCCACATCTTTCAGTGTATATTCTGGCAGCTCGACATCTGCCTTCCATTGAGCCTTCAGTTCCTTTGTTTCTGGAACAGACATTGTGAATGAATGATTTTGCAAAAACCAAAAAGGATGGAGTCTTAATTTAATATCGCGAAAAGGAACGGAATATAGAATTAATTGGAATTATCGCAATTATCGCAATAACCCACTCGGTACTTCCAATGTATACATAAAATTAGCCTATTAGCAAACAGCAATTTAACATGCCTCGGCATCTTGAAGAAAAAAAAACCTCTATCGGCACAGTGGGGCCGTCTCAGACGGGATATTTGCGACATGCCGGAGTGACCGAAACAACGTCCGGTCTACTACTCCGTAGACAATTGTCTATTTTGGATTTGTGGATCTTATCTAAATCCTAATTACGAATTTTTTTTTTGAACCGAGGCTCTTAGATATGCCTCTTCTATGCTGTACTATTATGAAATGAAAAAGAATCGGGACCTTCAATAGTGGAGTCCACTATGCAGTTTCAAATGGCTCAGATAATTAGATCCTTATAAATGTGGGAGGCCCTTCAAGGGACGGCGAACATATCATTTTCCCATTTCAAGATGGTTGCCAAACATTTTTACCTGCTGGGCGAGGCTATCACCTCAGCTCGCCCAATTGATGTAGAGACAACAGTTGACTACAAAGGGCTACAACTCCTCATTGCTGGTCAATTTGCCATTGTTGATCCAAATGGTAAGACTTTATCTCATTGCCTCTTAAATTCATCCTAACTCTCAAGTTAGGAATCGGATTCCAATCAGAGGACTCGAAGTTGTCCACTCCATCAGAGATCCTTGCCAATGAAGAGCCCATCGCCATCTCGATAAATGACAAGGCGGTACGGGAGATTCCTGGCCCGAAGGGACTGCCATTCGTGGGAAACTTCTTCGAGGTCTACCCGGATCACCTTGGAAACCACCAGCGTCTATTTGACCAATATGGACCCATCATTCAAACCAGCAACATGGGCCGAACGGTCTACCACACCAATGACCCCGAGCTGTCGGCCATTGTTTTTGCCGAATCTGATTTCTTTACCAAGAGAATCAACGAGGCACACCCTTTATACCCAATTAAGAACCAACAGGCCGGTGTGTTTTTGGGTGACACCGATACACCCGAATGGCGCGCGGCACACAAGTTCCTCCCGCCGGCGTTGGGACCGAAAGCAGTGCGCCACTACGCACCCACTATGCAAGAGACCGTCGAGGATGCATTTAGTGTGTTCGATGAGCTAGACGAGCGCGGCGAGGCTTGGAACGTCTACCCGTATATGCTTAAGCTCGGTGCCCAGGCCGTGGGTAAGCTGGTTCTTGGTATGGACTTTAAGCATTTCTCTGCTGTGGATGCGCCACCTCACGAACTTGTCTACCGAATTGCCGAGTCCTTGGAGCTGAACAAGAAGGTGACTGCTCGTGGTGATTGGTACGCCAAGTTGCCTTTCGGTGACCCCAAACGCCTACGGGACGCTCGCCACCGTATCGTTGAGATGGTCAATGAGTCAATTCAGAATGCTTCTCGCAATGGCGTCGAGGATCTGCCGTTGCAGGATGCTGCGTTGAAGGCCTCTAACATGATTGGTAAGTGCAATGACTAAAAATTACATAGCTAGAGCTAACGTTTTGGCAGATTATATTATTCGCGCCACCGATAACAAGGGCGAAAAATTGCCCAAGACAAGTTTGATGGAGGCACTAGTAGTAGCCACCGGCGCTGGATTCACGACTACTAGCTCATTGTTGTCGTGGTTGCTTTATTCGATTGTCAAGTATCCCGGCATGCAGGAGAGACTCCTACAGGAACTGATTGACAACGACATCGACGCCGATACCCCAATGACCGCCGACCTGACGGATCGTTTGACATTCTTGGACAAGTTTATCAAAGAAACTCAGCGCCGTCACAACCCCTCATACCAGCCTGCGCGCACTGCCAAAGTCGACATGATTCTTCCAGGTGGATACAAGCTCCCCGAAAACTCCATCATCATTCCTGCCCTTCACCACATCCACAACAACCCAGCGGTCTGGTCTAACCCAGCACGATTTGATCCGGATCGTTGGGATACGGAAGAAGTCAAGAACCGCCATAAGACTTCGTATATTCCCTTCGCTACCGGACCGCGCATGTGCATCGGGTTCAGCTTTGCCTTGCAGGAAGTCAAAGTGTTCTTGCCCAAGTTGCTGTACAGGTACAAGTTCACGAGGGAGAACGATGGTCCTGTTGAGTATGATCCCATGTTCCAGTTGATCCGTCCTACCAACTTGTATGTGCGGGCGGAACGACGAGTGAAATGGCCTCCCAAGACCGAGTGATGTCAGAATATCAGAATATTTGTACATAATGATTTGTTTTTATATCCAAAAATAGAGATCTCCTAAGAAAGCTTAGCTCCGGCCCGAACTCCGAATATTTACACCGAGGTCGGAGTTATGAGGTGATTGGTGATTCGCGTCTCAACTTTCTTTCTTCAACCATCTGATAATAATAATGGAGAACCAATCGCGGCCGGCACGCTATATGGCCCATGCCCTCGATGAGCTGGGCTTAATCACTATGTGGCGGTCGTCGCTCGACGTGAAGCTTCTCTGCGCGCAACGTTTCGTGCGTCTTTTCGCGTATGGCGGCTCGACTTTGATTTTGGCATCGTATCTGTCAGCGATGGGGATTTCAGATGATCGCATCGGCTTGTTTATGACCCTCACGTTGGTCGGTGATGTGGTGATCAGCTTCTTCCTCACGCTATTTGCCGATTCTATGGGTCGCAAGGCGGTGTTGTCGCTCGGATCAATTCTCATGGCTGGCAGCGGAGTCATTTTCGCGCTGTTTGGGAATTTTTGGATTTTACTGGCAGCTGCGGTCTTTGGTGTTATCAGTCCGAGGTTCGTCCTTTTTCCGCTTTCTTGTTTTTCCCGCTTTATCTGACCTAATTTCTTAGTGGAAATGAAATTGGCCCGTTCCGCGCCATCGAAGAATCCACTTTGGCTCATCTCACGCCGCATGAGCTTCTGAGTGATGTTTTTGCCTGGTATTCCTTAATTGGAACTGCTGGCTCCGCCACAGGCATGCTTGTATGTGGTTGGATCATCAATTCTCTCGAGTCAATCCATGGATGGGCCTTCATTCCCGCCTGTCGCATCATTTTCTTCGTCTATGCCGGCGTTGGGGTCATTAAGCTAATCTTCACTTTGGGTCTGAGTGGTAAAGTCGAGGTCCAGAAAGAAGAGCCACAGGAGCAGAGCTCCGAAACCAGACCTCTGCTTGCAGAACCAGTCGGACGAGATGCTGAGCCGGCCTCAAAGAAGAAGGGACTGTTTCCATCTATCGAAAAGGACCTGTGGTCGTTGGTTATCCGTCTCTTCATCCTATTTGGATTGGACTCGTTTGCGTCTGGATTGGCTTCATTGTGAGTGCAGTGCGATCCCAACTCTTGTCGGCTGCAATGCTAATTTATCAGGTCCTGGATGACCTATTTCTTCAAGGGCAAGTTCAATCTACCTTCAGGTGAACTCGGCACCATTTTCTTTACCACGAACATCATCTCCGCAGCATCCATGCTTGTCGCCTCGTCCCTCGCCAAACGCATAGGTAATGTCAAGGTAAGATATTCGTCTCTACTCAGCAGCCGGCGACTTCTGACCCTTTGGTAGACTATGGTATTCACTCATTTGCCGTCGGCAATTTGCCTCGCTCTTATCTCCGTACCATCTAGCCTGCCTCTGTCACTGACTTTCCTGGTTCTGCGAGCCTGCTCCCAGAACATGGATGTGGCACCTCGCTCCGCATTCCTTGCTGCCGCTCTGCCGGCAGACAAGCGCACTGCTATCATGGGCGCAGTGAATGTTGTCAAGACTACCGCTCAGAGCATGGGTCCCTTGTTGACGGGTATCTTGTCGCGCAATGGCTATTTTGGTGTATCCTTCATTATTGCAGGATGCTTGAAAGTGGTTTATGATCTTGGCATGCTATTCAGCTTTGCTGGGAAGGAGGCAGCCCGTCGGAAGCAGACAGCCCGAGACGAGGATGAAGAGACAAGTTAAAGTCTCCGGGAATCGTTGGGGCGGCTTGTTGATAACGTTGCACTTATGGAGGCCATAGTGTCTTACTGTTTGGGAGTCGCATCCAGTCTCTCTAAGTCTACAATTCTGTTAGTTTAAATGGTCATATTGAGAAACTTCACATATAACAGTTGTCTTTTGATTGATATAGTATACACAAATGATTTCCAATTCATCAAATATAAACCAAACGCCCACAAGATGTACAATCTAAAACCGACTCTAAACAAACCGAGCAGCCCGGTTTCGCAAAACAGACAAACGCCGATGCCGACGCGCCATCACGGTGTGATTTCCCGGTGCAGTGCCATTGTGATGCAGCGTAAAATTAGAGTGAACATGATGATGCTTGGCAGAAACGATATGCGAAGTCCTATTCTTCAACACCTCCATCACATGATGAACGATCCGATCGCTCTCTGCATGACCAGCACTATTGACACGACTCTCCTGCACCGGCTCACGCTGGTTATATGTACCCTGGGACGAGCGCCAAGAGTCCGAGTCCGACCCAGGCGTCTGGATATTATTGATATCCTCGACGGAAGTGTGTTTCTCAGCGCGCATAGGGGCAACGGGCTGGGCAGTAGGCATGGACTGCTTGGTGTCTGCCTGCTTCTCATTTCTCCCCTGTGTGGGAGTGTTCTCGGTGGTGAGGGGAATCTCGCCGTCGCAAATAAGTTTCACCCAGATTTGGGTGTACATTATCTGGCGCGGCGCGCACTGGCTGATTTCTACGCCATCCCGAATCTCCTGGTTAATCAGGGGTGGGTCGATGCACGATGGCACTTCGTGCACAGTGATGTTGCAGCCGCTGCCGTGGTTGGAGAGGAGTTCTGCATCGATAGAGATGGCGCTGACAAGGTTGCGCTCGTAGGAGGGGACAGCGATATTTTGGCAGATGTCCACGGTGATATTTTGGGGTGGGGCGGATACATGGTAGTTTTCGTATGTGTCGAGGTTGCTAGATGGCTGCCCAGGGCAGTTTGGATAGAAATGTGTCCAGACACGAGCGGTGCTTTGGGCGTGGACTGTGCTTGATAGTAAGGATAGGGAGATGAAGGATGTGATGAGAGAATGCATTGTTGTTAGGATTTTTATATATGCAACGTAGTAGATTTTGATAACCAGATTGAATTGTGTGATTGAAAAGCATAAGAAACGAGACGCTTATCCCCTACTATTATATATATAGCACGCCCTAACACCTTTCTCATGGTTATTGCACCGCGATAATGGGATGGCGGGGAAGAATGATTGGAATGAATATGATGCTGAAGTTGAAACGATTTCAAAATCCAAAGGGCATCTGCGTCATGCTCAGGGGCTGGCAAGTGCCATTTAATTAAATCTTTCACCAATTGGTTGGCTGCTTGCACATTCCATTCCCAAAGGGTCCATATCATGTCGATCTAGGATCGTGTGTGGTATTAAAGTACTCCCTATACATTCCAATGAACGGCTGTGCGCCACTAGAAAGGCTTGGAAATGCTTGCTTACCAGCCAATGCTGCCAAAATTTGGTGTGTTCTAGCTAAAATGACATTTATGTATGAGGCTGGTGATCATTCCATTTTATTGAATCTGACAAGTTGACGCCCTTCCGAGGTGTTGATGCTACTTAAATCGCTTGCTTTATTGACATTGCAATTATGTCATTAAAATCTAAAAACGTGAAAGTGGTTCGACTTTTCAGTGAAGCGATATATCATATATCATGATATAGACCTACTACCCGATAGAAATCTATACTATTTGTACAAAAGATCGCCTATCCCGTGGAGTATTCCCATAGCTTGCCAGAATCGAAATTACCAAAACCTACTTCAACGATCAATATCCTCAATAAACAGACTACCTCCATCTTTTCGCCCCGAATAATAGCTTTTGTATTTGGTCCGCGGCAGCTGACCCTGGTATTGAAGGTCCTGCCTTTTCGCTTTCGAGGGCGGGATATAAACTATGTACCCTCAGCTACCGTCGGGATTTTGGAAGAAACTGTAAATTGGATATCGCAGAAAGTTCCCCTCAGGGTGTTGAATGAGAAGCTCTTGAGTACAGAAAACTCGCCGAGCATTGATTCATTTTCCTATTAGAAATGACAGTTGTTTACATGGAGTCCTCAGCAAGGCTCTGAAGCAAGAATTAAGCAGCAATAAGCGTATCAAAATGTAATCAAGCAATAAGCAACGCCATCTGCTATTCAACCCTTTCTGGACATTCTTTTCCACCACGGCTTTTTAGCGCCCTGGCATTGCGTTCTGTTTCCCTGGGGTATCTTCCCCTGGAGTATCTCCTCTTGGAGTATCTCCTCCTGGGACTTCTTCTTCTGGGGTTCCACCGGTGGCGGCAGAAAGAAAGCCTCAGCCATCTGGACGACACAGGCCGGGTTATCATCGTACATTTTCTTTTTGAAATCATCAACAAAGCCTTGTCTCTCTTCCGTGGTATACTCAAAACCTCGTTCACTCGAACAACATCCGCATGTAGGCGTACAATGTACAATGCCCTTGTTTCTTTCTGTTACTTCGTGGCGGATTTGACAGCATCCACAGCTTCGACTACAACAACCCTCCCTCTTCACGCAGTCTTCGACTAGTTCTTTTCGAAGATACCAAGTCGTGTTCTTTCGTACGGTATCGTATGATTCTTTTATAGGCCCAATAGGAAGCATCTTTTCGGCAAGGTAGAGCTTATACTCGGCCTCAGAATATTGCCGGAGTAGATTCGTAAGCTCCTCATCATATTGTGCTTCTTTATCTCGATCTCCGGCTATCTTCCTCAAAGCTCGAACTTTGGTCTTTAGAGATTGCTCTTGCTGAACGATTCCACGGAGAAGAAACTCGGCTACTATGATATCCACAAAGAGTGCGATATCGAAAGGTCGGTTATTATAATAGAGAATGCGTAGTTGTTCCTTACGCCCGTCTAGGACTCGTGCATAGCGGGTGTCGGGCTTCAATTTTGTCCCTTTGAACATTTGATGAAGCCCCCAGCTTATTGCATATTCTGACATTTTCGGAACAGTCAAGAGAGGAGTGAATGAAATGAATAAAAAGATTGAGACCAGTCACTCATGACGATGTACAAGACAAGAGCCGCTCCCAAATCGGAATTAGCCCGAAGTTTAATCGAAACATTATGTCAGAACATCCACGGATCCATCGTGCCTTCCTGTTTTGGCAAACTCCAGGCGCCGAGGTAAAATAACCCCTGTTAGTGCTTTATAGCCTGGCGGTAAGCCGCAGTATGTCATTGACTATTTAATATTAACATCCCATGGATATTGTATAATAGTCCCACGGTTCCCAGTTGCTGGTGAACTGGCATAAAACCATCGGCAAATACTTTTTGGACCATTCTTCATTCCTGTCAACAGTATACTGTACTTTCCTAGCCTCCCAGTATGCAGGGAGCCAACCTGACTGTTCCCTATCGATGAGAGCGAGAACGTGATAGGGTTTGGAACCTGTTATCAAGATGTTGCTGCGGTGGAGATCGCCATGCGTAAAATTGACAGGGCTATCATTAGGTAGATCATCACGAAACGGTTCGATTGGGACAGAATACGGGTCAGGCATCGGCTTTCGGTAAAGGAAAGTGAACCAATTATGGAACCTTTGTACAGTGCCGAAGGGCCCCGCTTCGGACATAGAGTTGACGTGAAATGCTCTGTCATAAAGAGCAGCTTTTACGACATTTCCTATATACACACACACACAAAAGAAAAAGAAAAATGTTAGTAATAGATAAAATGGAGCAAATGTGAAGATTGCTAAAGGAACTATACCTATGAATCGATCGTCTGGCTCCTGTTCAAGTTGGCGAAGATTATCAATGATTGTTCGAAGCTCAGAACAGATCGAACCGCGATCGTCAGGCTCCAAAATATCCCAAACTTGGTCCAGAGTCTGCCCAGGCAAATATTCCATGTAGATGAAGACTTGATGGCCCTCCGTTCGCCATCCATAGATCTCCGGAACTGGCACACGATCTTTGAGGCATCGGCCGATATCGTAGAGTGACTGGCCCTCTGAAATTCGCATCTCACTACCCCATTTGACGAAAAGTCCTAGATCCTTGAAGATCACAGGTGGTGGTCTCATACGATACCAGGTCATCGAGAAAGCTTCTCTGTCATCTGGATAGGTTTCGAGATACTGGGATTTAGATTGCTTGCGAACCTCTTCTGGCGAAGGGAGGCTAGCGAACTTTTTGAAAAATTGTGAATCTTTAGCGTCAAAATTAGTACTTTTTGGTATCATTGAAGGTGTCAATATTGGGCGCTCATGTTGAATAAGTGACCCAGGTTCCGGTTCCTTGGGGAGCATCTTGTGTGTAGGATAGACAGAGGATGATGGGAATTTTTCGGAGAGGCAAGGTTGTTAGACCACTTGATCCGTTCGTGGGACAAGAGTTTTATTTTGATGTGAATGTGCCGGCAAAAAACGTCACCCCTTTGTCTGCATGGCCCAGCCCCCCGCGGGGGCCCGCATGTAGTTCAATGCAAATGTACCTTTCCTATGGGATACACATACAAAAGATACTTTAGAATATATAGAATTAATTGCTCTATAAGCAAATTGCTGACTTGATAATGGAAAAGAGAATGACGAGTGTCCTTTGATTTCGAAGTTTTGAATTGTTTTTGGTATTTTTAGGTTTATGTATGGTGTTGATATATCCAACTTTCCCCAAATATTGCCAATGCTCCACGGACCGCTCTTCACTCCCTGGGGAGTCGGTGCAGCCTGTGGAGCGCAATCATTCCTTCTTCTCGACATCGACAAAGACGTGTCCCAGTGGACCGGCCGCATGACTCCATCCTCCATGTCGAATGGTGTACTTGTCGCTTTTGTCCAACACCTCAACCAGGTTCTCGTGCTCTCCACCTCGGTTTTCCCAGTGGAGCTCGCAGATCTTGTCATTGTCATGAAATAAGTCCAGACGACCCTCACTGCCACGACGTCCTCTAGCGCCGATCTCGCCAACGCCATCCGGGGAGATCTTGATCTCGTCGATCTCATCTTCAGTGAGAGACTTGCGACGGTTGCTGGGGTCGATGAATTCGCCACTGTCGGGTGTTAATAGAGATCTAGTAAGTTCATTAGAAGTATAGTTTACCCTTCAATGACAGTGTTCTGCACTAGGATTTCGCCATCTTTGATGTGGTCCCGAATGTGGAACGAGACCCACCGAGAATTGTACTTGTCCAGATTTTCCATATTGTAAATGTGTAAGTAATTGTGATCAATGAAGTAGAATTTTAGAAAGATCAACTTCTTTTATATATTACCCCAGACCTCGGGAATACCTTGTGGTGATGTAATTCATTTTTGGATCGGGTTATTCCCAATGGTACGACCATCGACAGTCATATCCAATGATCTACCCGAACCAAACAATCTTTTTTGGTATTTGCGGGGTTTACATCTCAACTTGTTTTATTGCATCATTTGACTGTTTAAGGAGTGGTATGATAATTGGCACATGACATTGTTTTTTTTGGAGGTTGACTCACCTTAAGTCGTACCATCAAAGAACACATAAGACAATAAAATGAGATGGGACCACCAATGTCAGATGTACAAAAAATACCCCTTAATTTATCACGGACTTGGCCTATATTCAGATATATGCTCGATCAAAACTCTAAACACAAGACAAGTCGTATGAGTAATGGGAATTTCTCGAAAAGAGGTAGCTCTAAAGCCAAATCGGAATACAAGGCAATGTTTGGAACTAACAATACAAATTATCTTATAACAACCAACACTAACCAATTTCTCTTTCTATCCAACGATCTTTTTGGCCAAAGATTTTGTCAATCGATTTAGCCATGAGGAAGTGGCATCTAAGCCACTTGTCCGCTGGATGGGCTAGAATTCTGGGAAAACATATCCAGCTGGCAGTGGGCGGATTTCGAATCCCGAAGTATGAGGAAGTAGCATTCGTGCCACTTGGCTGGATGGCTTCGAATGCCGGGAAAATATAGCCCGGGTAGCGGGAGAATCTCGAACCCGAATTTTTGAGGGGTACTTGGACGAGGCTGCTACTAGGTAGCTTGGCCGGGTCTAGCCTCTGGATGAGTTGTGGAAGTAGACTGGCTTGGGCTAAGAAGTGGATGTTAGTTTCTCAAGTTCCTCAATATGGTGTCATCATGTATAGAAAAGTCTCACGTGTTTTAAGGAATAAACGCTATGATATTTGCGCTAAGCACATGGAGAGATAATCGAGTGAGAGAACTGTTTTCTAGAATCTATGAAGAGACAGGGTATTTATACCCCTGGCAAGTCATCTAGACAGAACTATATCGGTGAGAACACCAAAGAGACCACTAAAGAGGTGACTGAAAAGACCACTGAAAAGACCACTGAAAAAACATCACAAGGCTACTTATGCGGCCAACGATTCTTGTATCATTAACACGAATATCTCTTACCACTTGGACATAAAATATTAAATTGCTGTATAATTGTTCCCCAAAGCAAATTCTGTAGAGGGAAAAGACAGGCATAAGAATCTGCAACCATTTACCCTTTCGGTAACCCGGGGTCCCCTAGACTCCTGGGTGTGAATCTGGTTGCTGTAATACTACTGATTAGTAGAGCGTTAGAGCTATCACTCGCTATATATTGTAATAGCGATCCAGTATATTCTCCCCAAAGCAGGATGTATGTATCTGAGAATTTCTAAAATATCTGCTATGTAGAGCACAAAAGATGAAGAGATATCTACACCACTGGGTAGGGCAGAAGTAAGAGGTATAATTAGACTAAAAGCACCTATATAACCATAGGCAATCTTATATAGCTAATAGAGTACAATACTGACAAAGCTCAGTGCACATTATACCTCGTTTCATCAACATCTCATCACCCAATACATGCCATAGCCTTGGTAATCTCCATACTTTCTCAACAGAACTAATTATACCCCCTTTCGCAATAGCAATCATCGAGCTTCATCCCCAATGCCAGTTGCCAAACCTCGTGGCATCCAATCTGCAATTATGAGGTAAGCGATTGAGATTGCCATAACAATTTCTAGAACAGATGAAGCCGGTAATTGTTTGCTCCTTAGGGAAGAGCATGACTAGCTTCAAGACTCTTCCATATATACCAGAGGTCAACATTGACTTGGAATCCAAAAGCTACCAATGTCGGCCAATACACAAGGCCACCATTCCATGCCAAAGGCCCTGTTTGATGGATGTGGATTCCAGCGCCAAGGGCGTAGACAACTGGAGCGATAATATTGATCAAACCCATTCTTCTAGAAACAACAGGGGTAGGGCTCTTATCGCTGAAGACCGCCCACGCAACCGTCCACATCTGCACGAAGAAGATTGGCCATGCCAAAAACGTGGCCATCCAGAAAATATCGTTCATGAGCTGTGTCAACTCCGGGCCATAATCGCGGAATGTCAGCAGGCTCATAGCAACGGCTCCTATCATGAAGACGCTGAATGCTGCTGACCCACATGCAAGTTGAAGGTCAGTGAGGATAGGGTCGATATCAGGGATTCTGCGAATTTGACGTGTGAGAGCTGCTGAATAGACGACGTAGAGAGCACCGGAGAACATGACAAATATACTAGCAGCATGGGTGCCTCTCAGGTGAGACCAGTAATGGGCGTGAACTCGGTTGGCATCCCACCACGGTGCAGTGGGTGGGATATTGTCTGATGCTGCCAATGCGATCAGGAAAAATAAGGAGCAGAGGCTACCACCAACAATACTAAGGTAGTCCCACCGTCTGGTGGTAAGGGCATTTGCTAGACGCTGGGGATAGGACTTGTATCCCATAATGAAGTTAAATGAAAGATAAAGGTGAAAGGAGGGTGGATTAATAGGGAAATCACTGATTACTTAAAGATGAATGTTTCGCCCTGGGTGACTTATATAACTTATGTGTTTATTTTCCAAAAGCAGCCAAGCATTCGACATTCCCCTCCCTCATCATTATGAACAAAACTTGCAATCTTCATTGGTGTAGCTCTCTTCATACAAACTTGTCAAGGGTGCATGGAAAGCTATCTACGTTTCACGAAGCCTGCGATGGTGATACTAAAAAAATTAAATTGAGTGCAGATCTCGCAGATCTCGCCGAGTTTGGTCTTGCATACAGTGAAGGTAGGATTGTGTCCCTACCCTCTCTGAACAGACTGGAACTATATTATTCTAAACAATTCTATCGATTATTAGGAGCAGTCCTCTTGTGATCGAAAAGACTGGTTCGTGCATTGCTTTTGTCTAGAAACGAAGTATATATGTCCACACTTTCCACTTCAAAAGGCAGTATTTGGATTCATACATACGAACCATCATCAAATATTCATTTGCTTGCCATAAGTATTCACCGGTGTGTAACAACTAGAGCTCTCCACCTCTTGAGATTCTTTCGCAAACCCACCCACATAGGGTACTTTGCTTCTGTATGGCACCACATGATTATCGGGCCGTGGGGTCTAGTTTTCTTCGAGATATACCCGCAATATGGGGGTATAAAGGCCTAATATCCTTTCGGCTAAATTCATCTTAATTACTGGCTTATACACCAGACAGTCACATTTATGCTAATCTCATTTAATCCAGAAGCCCACCCTTAGAGGCTTCCATTTCTTAGCATCTGATACAGCTATGACCGGGGCGGAGAGATACTTTCTGGCTCTGCAGGAATATAATCCCTGATAGATCGATAGCGAGGTTTATGTTGATTACCGCATTGGTCTCTACAATTCTCCGAATTCTCTGGGCGAGAGGACGGTGCGGGCATGGAGATTTATCGAGAGAGTTTAATGCTGACACCGCAGGATGTGGCAGACTGGCCGGGGATACCTGACCTTCTCTTATAGGCTTATTCTTCTATATCACTAATATATAATCAGGGCGAAACAAATGAAGCTTTGCGTGAATAGAGAGGGGCACATGAAACAAATATGCATTTTCATGCTGTATTACTTCTAATTGTAGTCGGCCGAAGTTTCGGCCCCGGGGATTTACTTAGTTGTATAATGGTAAACGTGAACTATGTTTCAATAACCCAAAGTTGTTAGGAATAATTGTACCAAACTTTTAGGGTTAAGCCTTAACGCGGTTGACTCCATCCCCATCCCCAAGAAGTTTGTAGACTTCTCGGCCGAATCTCTTCGAATGATTTAGAAAAGCGCCACAGAATTTAGCACTTTGCGGATGCACTCGACCATTTTCGCGGAGGTTGATGGTCGATATGGAATGGCATGGCCGCCATCATGCACAAGAACCTCCCTATCCAACGGAACACAGAAATCTTGTAATTGAGCCGCATGACAGCCGTAACTATCATTAAGAGCATAAATGTGTGCTGTGGGGACTGATATAGGCACGGAAACTGGATGACTAGCGCCGAATCGCTCCAAAAACTGGGTTGCCTGATCCCATTTGTGAACATAAGCAGGGTCCATAAGTTCCGGGATAGTCGCAGATACATCGACAGTGCAAGTTTCTTTTGTATTGGGGGCTGTATAATAGCAAATGCCATTGCGGTAGATAGAGAACGGTTTAGACTCCGAATCAAATGGGAGCGAAGCGGAGAAGAATACGGCGGACCTGAATGGCTGCTCGGAGGGCGAACTACGTCTTGCATGGTAGAGCATGTAGGATGCAGCCAATGCTGCACCGTGCGAAAAGGCGAAAACCCCGTCAAATGACCCCTCGTCTGCGATGACTTCGTCTAGCAGCTGAAATGCAGAATGTATCTGTGATGGGGTGCAAAGCTCAAAATACGAGAAGTACGGGCCGGCGAAATAGTCTTTGACTGCTAATAAGATCAGAAACAAAATGTATAAGCATCAAATTCGGAGGTCCCAATTCTCATGTTGTATGAACAAACCGTTATCTGGGTCAACTTCGATCTCCCCCTGCAAGAAATGAAACTCATGTTCGGAAAACTCCTTCAATATGACCGCTAGCTGGGCCTCGAGAACCGCTGCGTTGGAACCAACGCCATGAAGGCATAAGAAACGCATTTTGCACGGGGAGGACTCTTTGCGCAAGCAAGACAAACGGCAGACCGTTATGTTGAAGATGAGAAAGTGAATCTCTGTTTCAATCTTGCTTTGGTGAGTCTAGCTTGGATAACGTTCGAGTTAAGAGGTTGGCAAAATCCTGACATATAATAACAAATAAACTGGATATGTTATTTACAGGGAGAAAGCATACTACATCATGGGAAGTTACATAGCACCTAATATGGAAGTGATGCGACATGTAAGACCATTAGGTGTAGTGGGACCTCCGAAATATTGGGCCAAACCAAAGTACCTAGGCGTACCGCTCCGTATACGGTCTTTCTATTCTGCCGGTTCTACCGGCTTACGGAGTAGAACTACATTCTATACACGTAAGAAGGTTATATATAGAAAAGTTGTTTACATAAATTAGACATTTTTTCCGCCTTATACTGCTGCCGACCTATCTAAACAGAATGATATCTGAGAAGACTACTGAAAAGACCACTGAAAAGACATCACAGGGCCGCTTATGCGGCCTATATTGTTGTGGTAGTATAACTAAAAGAAAGGCGGTATAAAGGGTGGTATATTTAGGTACTTTAGTTTGGCCCAATATTTCGGAGGTCCCACTGTACACATTGATAGGGCACCGATTGAACGTTATCTTGTTTTCTTGATTGGGGGATATACAGCTTGATTTTACGTCTCATTGTTGGCCATATCCAAGACCTATTGTGGTACAGGCTCAATATTCCTATGTATCTATCCAAAACCGGATTCATCATGACACACTCTAGTGCAGGTTTAAACATCTCTATGCGTCAACCTTAAAGATGACAGAGATATACTCGCCACGCTGAAAATTCAAGATATCAGGATCAAATGAGGTATTTAAGACTCATCAACCGCTCTCCTTTTAGTCAAAGTAACCATTGGGGATTTTGAACAATCGCAATTTACTTTCTCAAAATTAATTCTGTTGAAAGAGCTACCCAATTCCTCATATTATGGATGAACAAACTGGAGTGCAGGATATTGCCGTAATTGGAATGGCTTGTCGCTTTCCCCAGACTGCAGAGGATGTCGAGGGTTTCTGGGACACTTTGATTGCTGGGCGTTCTACGTCAACGGATTTCCCCCCTGACAAGATGAACATCGGTGCCCATTATCATCCAGATGCGGACCATGGAGGCAGTGTAAGTTAGGAAGATGCCCCAATGAAATATAGGAATGAGCCACTCATGGATGTTCGGGATAGATGGCTTGTCGCGGAGGCCATTTTTTGTCGGAGAATGGTCGATATTTCGACGCTCCATTCTTCAGCATTACCAAGAACGAGGCGATGGCAATGGATCCTCAAGGCCGAGTTCTAATGGAAAATGTATATCATGCAATCGAAAATGGTATGTGCAATCGTCCGCAAGTGATTAAATGTCGTTAAAAATCGGGGTAGCTGGTCTCACCATCGGAAATGTTGCCTCAAACGATATCTCTGTCTTTGTCGGTGCGTCCAACAACGATTTCAAGCAGATCATGGGAGCCGATGAGCAATCCCTCTGGAAATATCTCCCCCTAGGAACGGCTCCTTCTATTCTTTCTAACCGCATCAGCTGGTTTTTTGACTTTAAAGGGAGTAGTATGACAGTTGATACAGCATGTTCAAGTAGCTTGGTCGCTTTCCACCTCGGTTGTCAGGACCTTAGGTCCGGGAACTCCAAGATTGTGAGTGAACTGTCTTTGTTATCCACATATCTTGATTTCCGATATTGATACATCTCTCTGTCAATCCTAGGCCATTGTCAGTGGCGTGAATCTGCTTGATGACCCTGACATGATGTATCGCATGAGCCATGTGGGATTCCTAAGCTCTGACAGTATCTGTCACAGCTTTGACCATCGTGCCAATGGATATGCTCGTGGTGAGGGAGTCGGTACACTGATACTCAAATCTGTTTCGGATGCCATTCGAGACGGGGACACTATCCGGGCAGTGATCCGAGGAACTGGATCGAACCAGGATGGCCACACCCCTGGCATGTCAGTCCCTAGTTACCAACGTCAAGAGCAGCTCATACGCAATGTCTATGCCAAGTCGGGGCTGAAACTAGAGGAAACTGGCTATGTGGAGGCTCATGGTACGGGGACACCGGCTGGTGATCCGATCGAGGCTCGCGCGATGGGGGCCGTTTGGAAGTCACGGAAAGATTTGAATCTTCCTCCTTTGGTTATAGGAGCCGTAAAATCCGTGATTGGTCACTTGGAAGGAGCATCAGGTCTGGCTGGTCTGATCAAAACCGTCCTTGTTCTGGAGCGAGGTATAATACCACCGAATCTGAACTTCGAGAAAGTAAACCCAAAGATTCCGGCAGAAGAATGGCATCTTCAGGTGAGCGGCCCCCTTTCACAATCTGTACTTGAATTTATGACTGATGGAAAGGCAGTTTCCTCGGGTAGCCATGCCATGGCCGGGCCAGGGCTTGCGGCGGGCCTCTATCAGCTCATTTGGCGTCGGGGGAACGAATGCCCACGTCATCATGGACGATGCATATCATTATCTGCAGTCCCACAACTTAGAGGGGACCCATTGTACCATCAGGTCTTCTTCTCATGTTCTGACTAACAGCCAGAACAATGGCATGGAGGTAAATATAACGAGCAATCATATGATAGACCAGCAAGATGAGAAGCATAATGGGTCTCAGGTGAACGTGATCAAGGAAGAGTCTTTTCCCACAAGGTCCTTCGTCTGGTCATCCTCTGATGAAGAAGGCCTGAAGCGAATTTTCAACCAATTTCACTCTTGGCTCCGAGGCCGTTCTGGGCTTGTGAATGAAGATCAACTTCTCACCAACCTAGCGTGCACTCTAACCGAGAAACGAACACAATTTTCATGGCGTTCCTTTACCACCGCTGCCTCCTTCGCGGAACTCCAAGAACAACTGGCGGAGGGTCCCAAGTTTACTCGCCATGTACGGCCTGGGAAAATTCCCATGCTAGTGTTTATCTTCACCGGGCAGGGGGCTCAATGGGCTGGAATGGGGAAGGAACTGCTCAGATTTCCAGTTTTTCGTGAAAGTTTTGATGACGCCAATCGCTACCTGCGTAGCTTAGGTAACAAATATGATATCAAAGGTAAGGATCTTGAAAGGCTTCCGGTCACTCTATTACTGACAAGTCCTTTGAGAGGAACTTTTACGAGACGTCGAACAGTCTCAAATCGACCAACCCGATCTCAGCCAAGTACTCTCGACGGTGATTCAGACCAGCCTGGTTGACCTCCTGCGCGAGTGGAATGTTCGACCAAGCAGATTGGTTGGGCATTCTTCAGGAGAAATTGCCGCTGCCTACTGTGTAGGAGGATTGAGCCGTGAATCTGCCTGGAAGGTTGCTTATTTCCGTGGCATTGTTGCATCTATACTAGTCAATTCCGGAGGGAGTATGCTTGCAGTCGGCATGGGGGAAGATGCGCTACAGCCCCATTTAGAGGCAGTACACCAAGAACTGAAAGGAATTTTATCCATTGCATGCTTCAACAGCCCAACGAATATCACTGTTGCGGGAGATGGGCACATGGTAGACCTCCTCTCCTTGCGGCTCGGAAGCGAAGGAGTGTTTGCACGCCAGCTAAAGATTCAGGTGGCATATCATTCTGCGCACATGAGGCAGGTTGCCGATGAGTATCGTCGGCTGATGGGTGAGTTATCTGTGGGAAACGAAATATGGCCTAACTCCGAGCCTATTATGGTGTCCTCCGTCACTGGGAGACCTATCAATGCTTCCTCTCTTGCAGATGCTGATTACTGGGTGCGCAATATGACATCGCCTGTGCAGTTTCTCTCCGCCGTTGAGTATCTTATCAACACTGTTGCTTCGAAAGGCAAACGAACAACCACAGTGGTGGGCGGAGATCAAAACCCCATCCTGAATATGGTTGAACTGGGTCCTCATCCTGCTATGCAAAGTGCAACCAAGGAAATCGTGGAAGCAAATCCCACAGCCGCAGGCCGAGTTCCATATTATTGGGCAATCCAACGCAACACCTCAGCCATGACGCAGGCACTTGACCTTGCCGGCAAGCTATTCTGTGAAGGCTACCCTGTAGCCTTCTCTCGAGTCAATGGATGCTCTAGTGGAAAAATGCTAGTTGATACTCCCCCGTACAGCTTCAACCACACCCGTGAATATAATCCATTTGGACGGCTGAGCAAAAACTTTCTTTATCGCCAGAAGCCTCGACATGATCTCTTCGGGGCGCCAGTTCGAGACTGGAATGTAGACGAACCACGGTGGAGGAACTTCCTCCGAGTCCATGAAATACCATGGGTTAAGGACCATAAGATCACCGGCCAATTGATCTATCCAGGTGCCGGCTATGTAGTCATGGCAATTGAAGCGGCCAAGACACTGGTCGATCCAGCGTCCACTGTCAGTGGGTTCCGGCTAAGAGATGTTGTTTTCAAGACTGTCTTGCAAATTCCAGATACAACAGAAGGCGTGGAAACCATGATGGCCTTCCGTCGCAAACAGGAGTCAAGTTACAGTACCTCATCTATCTGGTTCGAATTCAAGATCTCTTCATACCAAACCAGATCGGAGGGGTGGATGGAACACTGTACTGGTTTAGTTGCAGTGGAATATGGCGGCAGTAGGAACAATCCCATTGTCACGGATGCCCCAACCGATGCCATCAAGCAAAATTTCGAGGCTCTCAGAAACCGAGCCAGCCAAGAATGCACTGTTCCTGTTGACATGGAGAAAATGAGGGCGGATCTAAAATCCCTTGGCATGGTGTTCGGCCCAACTATGCAAGGTCTTTCTAGTGCTTTACGAGGTGATGGAACAGGCCAAGCGTTGGGAATTGTTCGCATTCCTGATGTCCGCGCCAGTATGCCTTATGAGACAATGGAGCCGCATATTATGCATCCGGCAACAATGGATGCTTGTACACAACTGTCATTCGTGACGATTGGCGACTTGGTCAACCAAGGAACCTTTTCTGACATCATGCTGCCACGGTCAATCAAAGAGCTCTGGTTGGCATCAGAGATTGTGAACAAGCCTGGGGCAGAGATCAATTGCCACGCTGTGTCCACGAGAATTTCACATAATTCCGTACATCACGAGATGACAGCATGGAGCGCCGGCGCTACATTGCCAGAATTCCGCATTTGGCAATATCAAACGGTTGTTTTGGAACGACCCGCGCATAGAGGCCGCGACTATCAACAGCCGTGGACTTTGATGTGGAAACCATATGTAAATTTGATGGAACCGCAGGAGACGATAGACTATCTTCGCCAGGCTTGTGACAACAATGGAGCCCGCAAGCGTGAGGAGAACGCAAAGGTTTTATCAAATGATTTGGATCAGGTGGTCGCAATTCTTGCCCAGAGGGCTCTATCCGGCATCCAAGCTCTTAGTGCCTCCTCTTTGCCACCTCACCTCCAAAAGTACCTTGCCTGGCTTCAGGAGATGCACCACCGTCTGCCAAAGAATTCGGACTCTTCGGAAAAACAAGATGATCTAATTCAACATGCTGCTTCCATCTCCGTGGAGGGCGAGCTGATATCATGTGTAGCAAGCCACCTGGACTTAATCATAAATGGCAAGACTGATCTTTTCGACATTCTATCTCACGACGGCTTGTTGGAACGCTTCTATGCAGAGAACCAGTCGTCTCAGCGGATACAAGAGCTACTCCGCGCATACGGCGATATCTATGGGCATCAAGCAGGAGATCTGAAGGTTCTCGAGGTTGGAGCCGGCGACGGTGCAAGTACCAAGGCCTTTCTCCCTAGCCTAGCAGCTAGTCTGTACACTTACACAGACGTATCGACAACGTTCTTTGCTAAAGCACAAAGGTCTCTCGCTGCATGGGCAGACTCAATTGAGTACCGCAAATTCGATATCACACAGGACCCCTCGGAGCAAAACTTTGAGGCGAGCTCATTCGACCTCATTCTGGCTGTGGATGTGGTTCATGCAGCTCCAGATGCCAGTTATGCCTTGCTAAACCTCAAGTCATTGCTGAAGGAATCGGGAAGGCTGATTCTGGTGGAAATTTGCAAGACGGATGTTCTCCTTTATCCACTCATCTTCGGCCTAAACCCGGGATGGTGGTGGAGCAAGGAAGAAACCCGTCAAGCCGGCCCTCTGCAGTCGGCTACTTGGTGGTCCGAGACACTCAAAGTATCAGGCTTCTCTGAAGTTGAAGTCTCTATTGGCGACTCTGCGACCCCAGCCATTTCGGAGCGCACTTTGATGATTGCTGGTATTTCTGGCCCAGGTGCGGATACCAAGCGAGCCGCAGAGATACAAGCGGCACCAATGATTGTGACACCACCTGAACCATCGCCTCAAGTCAAGGAAATTGCCGAGACACTTAGTATGAGTCTGGCCTCGCCGGGGGATAAATGTACTATTGTCGATATTCTCGGTGTCACACGTCATACAGACCTAGGAGGAAAGATATGCATTGTCATGGATACACAGGGGGGTATTCTTTCTCGCATGAGCAATGATCTAATGATCAATCTTCAACATCTTCTCAAGTCATGTGGTGGCATCCTCTGGGTCCGCGAAGACCACCGATCAGATCCGAATGCTGCTCTTATCACAGGTCTCATCCGGACTGTTGGCTGGGAGCAGAATTTTCGTCAACAGAACCTTGTCACATTGGAAATCGGTCATGGACATAATGTCCAGCAAGCCATTCAGCGTATCCAGAGAATCTACCAACATGAATTTGGGTCAGAAGTCAAGTCTGGTAGCAAAAGGAACAATCGCAACACTGAGTATAGGGCTTCCGTCGTCGGCCCCCTCCAGACAAACCGTTTGGTTTTACAGAAATCCCTGGATAGTTTCATGGCCAACAAATTTGCCACAATAGCTCCCGAAAGCACACGTTTAGGCGATTCACCGAATCGAGTGTTATCTTTGACAACAGACAGCCCTGGTCTTTTGGATCGGATGTATTTTAAGGACTGCTGTGTCTACACGACTCCACTGAAAGGTGACGAGGTCGAATACAGAGTGCACGCAACCGGACTGAACTTCCTCGATGTTATGTCCGCTATGGGTGAAGTGCCAGCGAACAGGTTTGGAGGTGAGGCGTCCGGTATCGTCACGCGAGTTGGTCCGAATGTAAAGAGGCTGCGCCCTGGGCAACGCATAGCGGCACTCTCAGTCTGCACTGGCACTTTCCAAACAGTCGCTCGTACCGTGGAAAATGCAGCTATCGCCATACCCGAGACAATGAGCCTTCAACACGCTGCAGGATTTCCAATTGTCTATGCCACAGTGTTCTACTGTTTGGTGGAGGTTGCACGTTTGAAAAAAGGGGAGACGATTTTAATCCATGCGGCAGCAGGCGGCGTAGGACAGGCAGCTCTGATGCTCGCTAACCACATCGGGGCTCGAATCTTTGCCACCGTTTCTTCTGAATCCAAGAAGAAGATTCTGCTCGAGTACGGTGTGCATGAGGAGCACATCTTCTATAGTTGCGACCTTGCTTTCAAGCAGATGATCATGCAACAGACCAATTACCGTGGGGTAGACGTCGTATTGAACTCGCTGGCAGGCGAGGCTCTTCGGGCGGCTTTTGAATGCATGGCCCCATGTGGTCGCTTTATCGAAATCGGTAAACGCGACTTTATAACGAATGGACGGCTTGATATGGCACCATTTCTTCACAGTGTGACCTTTGCCGCCTGCGACCTCAACACCATCCTACAACATGACCCCGCTCTGGCATATAAACTCCTCCAGGGGGCCATGGAACTCTGGCAACTTGGTGTCTTCCGACCAACGACTCCGTTCACGACTTTTAAGTACTCCCAGTTGGAAATGGCGTTCCGTCGGCTCCAGTCTGGTAAACAGAGCGGCAAGGTGGTATTGACCATTGATGATGACGATGTTGTCCAGGCTCTTCCCCGGCTCCCCCCGCCATATCAATTCCATACAGATGCGACATATCTGCTCAGCGGTGGTCTTGGTGGTCTCGGTCGGAGTGCAGCGCGGTGGATGGCATCTCGTGGGGCAAAACACTTCCTATTCCTTTCAAGATCCGGTGGCTCCAATGCAGATGCACAGCTTCTACTCAACGAGTTGAATGGCGCCGGATGCGATGTACAGGTCCTCCAGGTTGATGTTGGTGACTCGGTTGCCTTGGATCAAGCGCTTAGAGCTCATATGGGAACAATGCCCCCTATACGGGGTTGCATTCAAGGTGCAATGACTTTGATGGTAAGTTATAGCGTCCTTAACTTCCATGGTACGGCTTATTTATGATGGATCTCTTAACAGGATTCTACCTTTGAAACGATGACATCGACTGCCTTTGAAGCCAGCGTTAGGGCCAAGGCACGCGGATCGTGGAACCTCCACGAGGTGCTTCCAAAGGATCTCGACTTTTTCATCCTCCTGTCTTCATGCGCCGGTGTTCTCGGGAACCGTGGCCAGGGGAACTACAACGTAGGTAACACATTTCAAGACGCCCTAGCCCATTACCGCCAATCTCGAGGCCTCAGTGGAACATCATTAGACCTAGGTCGTATGCTTGATGCTGGTGTGATTGCCGAACGAAAGGACAATTTATTCACAGCATCCCTCCGAAGCGCATTCGGGAACCAATCCGTTTCGCAGGAGGAGTTCCATGCTCTATTAGAGTACCATTGCAATGCGCAAAACACAGATGTGTGTCCACAGACTGTAGTTGGACTTTGTACCCGTGAACAGTTCCTTGCAGACAACTTACCAGAGCCTGCCTTCCTGTCCTACCCCCTATTCACTCATCTCTGGCGGGTTGGTGGCGCTGCGGGAAGCGAGGGTAGTAATGGTGACGTCCCGAAATTTTCAATCAAGGGGGCCTTATACAAAGCCCTCTCCCCGGAAGAAACACTCCAGATTGTGGTTGAAGGCATCATTGAGAGATTGTCCAGCTTGCTGGCTATATCTGCGACCGAGGTCGATCGCGAAATGGCTCCTTCCAACTATGGGGTTGACTCCCTTGTAGCTATTGAGATTCGAAATTGGCTATCAAAGGAGGTAGGTGTTGAGGTTGGAGTGTTGGATATTGTAGGCAGTCAGTCGATTGTCGATTTAGGGGAGCGGGTGCTCAAAGCTAAGGGTTAAGGATGAGAATGAGGGGATAACGGGATGAGGGGATGAGGAGATAAGGAGACGAGGAGATTAGAGGGGTCTTGTAAGGAGCCAGAACAGACCAGAATATAGAAGGAGGGTAAGAGGTCTATGATTGTTAGGATAGTGGAATTATCCCAAGTACAGAGAGAACAATAAGCTACAGTTAACTACATGACTCCGCATAGGTAGAGATAAGTGAACTGGTCACATGATCAGCTAATGAGCAATGGGATTACCCTACGGAGTACATAATGTACAATAGGCAGGGTTAATTCTTGAAATACATTTTTTTGAATGCATATCAAAAACATTCCGAAGGATCATCAAATCCAGGAACCAACTCTACATTGCCTTGCATTATTAGTACATGGCTCTAGGCTCCCGGAAACGTCTTAGATAACCCGCCTTTTTATCCGCAGTTCCTAGGTTATCTCACTCTCACCTCCTCTTTACAACCCCTCTCCCATCTCAGCATTTCCACAACTTCTCTCGATTTCTTTTTCTATACTCTCACTTGACGCATGAACGATGCAGGGTCCTGAGGCTTCGAGCCCCGGTGCGCTCGCAGGCCTGCCATCAACCCTGAGAACGCTGATAGGCAACCCGACGACGTCACCGATTGGCTTTGTCTCCTCAACATTACCATTACCAACACCCATACAAAGCGATTCATCATTTACGCAACAAACCCAAGAGAACATACAGAATGTTTTTTCTTCTTTGTCAATGGAATTCCGTTCCGAACCTGTGCTGGCAAGTGGCAACTCTACCGGGTCGACCGGCAAAGGCATCTTGATTGGGATCTTGTCAGCATTTGGTTCGGCTGCTGTCGCATTTGTTGTTCTAGCGATCTTTTTCTTCTTTAAATACACCCGCCCGGGGCGGATTATGCTCGATCGCATTGGCAGGCCCGGTGAATACGACGACGAGCAAGCGTTTTTGCGCGAAGAAGAGGCGGCTCTAGAGTCAATGGATGACTTAGCGCGATCGGAATACTTGCGAGCAAAAGGTAAGACTGGAGATAAATCTGCGTATGAGTCGCTTTGATCATTTTACTAACGGCCTACAGCTTTCATCCAAGGAAACCCTCCCGAGTCCGTGCAAACCGACATATCCCTATCACAGTTCCTCGCGATCCAAGAAAAGGGCGTCTCTGCCTGGGAATTTCAGCCAGAGCTGGAAATTGCAAACTGCTTTGTGGAAGGACGAACAGAGATTGAGTTCTTTGATTCGGAGTGTAGTGTTCAGACCAATCTGCCGATCCCCAAGCAGAATGATGTCTACTACTGGGAGGCGAAGATATATGATAAGCCTGACTCTACCATGATCGGCATCGGTGTTACGACGAAACCATACCCACTGTTCCGAATGCCTGGTATGTCCTTCAACGGAATTGTTTCTACCGGGTAATTCCTGCTAACAACCGCTAGGCTTCCATAAATCCTCTGTTGCCTACCAATCTACGGGACATCGCAGACTCAACCAACCATTTAATCCCACTCCGTACGGGCCTCCACTTCTCCAGGGTGATGTTGTCGGTGTAGGCTACCGACCTCGATCTGGCACTGTCTTCTTCACACGCAACGGCAAGAAATTGGAAGACGTGGCTCACAACTATCGTTCACAAAACCTCTTCCCCACCATCGGTGCTAATGGGCCTTGCACTGTTCACGTAAACTTTGGTCAAATGGGATTCGTGTTCATCGAAGGCAATGTCAAAAAATGGGGCTTGGCTCCCATGACTGGCAGTCTCGCTCCGCCCCCACCCTATGGCAGTGAACAAGGCAGCATTTTGCTTGAGTCGGGCCGCGAGAGTGCGGCTCAGATCTCCCAGCGGGTTTACCAAAATGCGAACTACGCGGCCTCAGGCTCAAGTGTTAGGATTCCTCCGGCGCCCAGCCCGGGTCCTTCTCGGTCACCAACTGACATTTCCCTCGCCCAGCTGACCCACATTCCTTCCCATGAAGATGCTGGTGAGGGGTCCAGTCGTTTTGCTTTGGCCGATACAGAGGGCAATGAGGCAGCAGCTCATAATAATGAGGAGCCAGAGGCCCCACCCCCAGAGTATTCTAGTCCCGACGGCAGTCGCAGGGGCAGTGATGCCGCTCTCGAATTTCCACCTAGATTTAGGGCTTCTGAGGAAGTCAACTCTCCACCAAATGACTCCATGGATTCTGGTGGTCAATTCCTACCAAGTTATCAAACTGTGGTGGAGAGAGACTTGAATGAACAAAACTCAGAGGCCAGCAATCGGTCGTGATGCAATATGTATTCCCCTTCCTCATTTTTGCTTTTGAACATACCTCCTGGCGCATAAGGGGGTTTGTCTGATTATTTCTTTTGTTTAATTTAGCGGGCTCACGGAAGGCGTTAAAGCAATTGGTGAAGGCAGATTTCTTGGGTTTTATGAAATGCTGTCTGGATTGGAATGGCCTTTGTCTATTATCCCTTACCCTTGGGGAGTCAATGAATTTTTGTATAAAGGCACAGTCGCTTTGCTATACTTTCCCCCTTCTTGACCGCATACCCTCTTTTTTATGTTAAATCTGTATATCCATTTGAAATTAAGTCGGTATATTGACAGATCCGGTATAATATTAAAAAAAAAAAAAAACTTGTTTTCTTAAATTGTGACAAGGGAAAATCGTAGTGTGGACGTCATTTGATATAGATGTAAGGAGTAAGTACAAAGACGTGCCCAGCCAGGTCTGATATCAGATCTTTGTATCCACTCTCCACTCTCCACTCCTCTTCCTCTCCGTTCTCAGATCATCTACAAATATCATCCAATAGACACTTGCAGTTTGCTTACGGCCCTCGTGATACGAGGGGAAACATCCCCCACAAAATTTGATCCCTTATCTGCACCTTGCCGACCAGCCTCCAGATTTCTGTTCTCTCCGGGAAACTCTGCTACCTAGCCTACTTTCCGTATGACAATATCCAGGTTGTTAGTGATATCTTTGGACAGTCTAAATCTCAATCTCTGCTATCGCGTCGTGACATAATTTCTTTTCTTTTTTCCTCATTCTTTACTAGCCGCCTCTTATTTTCAACAGTTTGGCCATTCATTTGAAACTGAAACATTTTGTCGCTGAGACTCTACTATTGGGAATCAGACGCGCTCGGGCAGCTTCACTGGCTTTTGGGCTGTGACAAGTCGAGCTTATCATTCGTGTCTCACATATCCACAATTACCGGGACAAAGGGAACAATGGCCGAGAAAGCAGCATTCCAAGTCATTGTCTTGGTAAGTTACACCCTGTTGAAATGTATCTTGTCCGTTACAGAACCCGTCACGTGCAAGGCCATGTGTCGAGGTTTGATAGATATTTTGCATGCTATTTGCTCAAACCTGGCGGCGGGTTCTAGCAGATGAAACACCTGCAACTCTCTACTTTTGCTAGATGCTAACTCCGCCAGGGCCCGACTGGTGGACCTCGCGAAGACACCGTCACAGGTATTCTTGTCCGGTCAACAGCAACGAAATGGTCTCCAAATTCGGTGGTAGCTGTTGATGCGGGTACCCTGCTTGCAGGCATCATTCGATTGCTGGAACAATACATCCCCGAATGCAAGGATGATCGGGGGATGATGACAAGTGGGCCCTTTCAGGGGCTTGAGCTGCCATGCAGAACAGCACAGGCAAATGCAGCTCATGTATTTCGAGAAATCATTGGTGCTGTTCTCATCACGCACCCTCATCTAGATCATATATCAGGGCTAGCCATTAATACCCCGATCCTGGAGGCGGGTAATGGACCAAAGCCTGTGGCTGCTTTGCCATCCGTGTTATCCGCCATCAAAAACCACATGTTCAACGATGTCATCTGGCCTAATCTGTCAGATGAGGACGGCGGTGCTGGTCTGCTCACCTATCAGCGCTTGGTGGAAGGTGGAAACCCTCGTTTCGGTCGCGGAGACAGTAGAGGCTATGTCAGGGCTTGCAATGGTCTGATGACAAAATGCTTGAGTGTTAGCCATGGCCGGTGCAAGCAGCGATATCACCCAGAAACCGGGACGCACCATCGAGTCGGGAGTACCGTCTTTGGTGATCATCAATTGATGCTTCCTTCGAGGGCGATTTCAGTGGACCATACCGATGGCAGGTAAGCTGAAGGTTCGACAATCTTTACGCCCGATTTTCTAACCATCTCCAGTTTCTATTCCCCCGCTCGCTCGCCACGTATACTCCCATCCAACCCCAAAGAGCCAGTGATGGCAACAGTGGAGAGTTCCGCCTTCTTCTTGCGCGATCATCACACCGGCAGCGAGATCATTGTCTTCGGTGATGTTGAACCCGATTCAGTCTCTATGGGGACTCACAACAAACGAGTATGGGAAGCCGCCGCACCGAAGATTGCCACGGGCAAACTACGAGCAATCTTCATTGAATGTTCCTACAACGACAGCACCGACGACTCATATCTGTACGGCCACATGTGTCCGCGACATCTAGTTTCCGAGCTTAGCGTACTAGCCAGCAGAGTCATGGAGATCCGGGATTCCAACGCAGGCGAGAAAAAGCGCAAACGTGAACATATAGGCCCCGTCGAGAGCGGCAGCGAGCAAGTGAGCCCTCGATCCAAACGGACTCTGAGCTCCTCTGTCGATAAAGACAAGACGTCCGAGTCGCTTATTGAGCATCGATCGCATCAGAGTGAGTCATTCGAGACTCCTCAGGTACCCAGAGTGGACTTCGAAGATGCTCTGGGAGATCCAGACCCTGAGAATTGGGTTGGTGCTACGCCTCTTCCTCTGGAAGGACTGCGGGTCTACATTATTCACATCAAGGAGAATCTTACCGATGGGCCTCATCCTCGAGAACAGATTCTGAAGGAGCTCCAGGATCATGGCGAGGCAGCCCATCTAGGTTGTGAATTCCTTATCCCGAATCCCCTTGAGGGAATATGGATTTGAAACGTACGAATTTACTACGGGGGGCATTTCGTTTTTTTTCCCTTTTCGTGCAGCGTCTTCTTCGTTATTCAATGTATATTAGCCCGTATTCATTTCTCAGCCAACGACTACTTTTAGCCCATCTTTATATTCTATGCAGAAAACTGTAAGTTCCTGTAAAATTGATCAACCGATGAAGAGTCATCGAAGATAGATATCCCTGCTACGGGTTTCTAGGCTGAGCCTCCTTGACTTGTCACAAACCCTGCTCCTGCTACTAAGTGTTCACCCATTCCCTGTTTTTCCACTAAAACTGATCGACTCTGAAATTGATCGACTCTGAAACTGATCGACTTTGAAACTGATCGACTTTGAAACCTATTGTCTCAATGAATTTATATGATAAGATATTTTTATTTTATATCATTTATAACTGGAAGCTCAATGTAACATATCATAAAATATATCCATAAGTAATTTTCGTAGAGTGTGGTCAATTTTCAAAGTCTTGACAAAGATTCTAATGTATGGGTGCCACTATATATAATGGAGATTCAACGCGACATTTGGGTTTCAATCAGTTATCACTCAATATATATATTGGACCATTTGGAAAGAGATATTTGCTAATCTGATAAACTCATTTATTTAAACTGTCAGAGAAATCATTGTGTAAAATTATTGAGAGAAGAGGGTCCAAGGTTGGACAGTTTTGGGAAAATTATGTAGACAGTGAGTAAATACTATGTACTTAATGAACTTTACAAGTTTTTCTCGAAGACGATTGAAAAAAACGCAAAAGAAATCTATTCCTCTATTAAAAATTAACTAACCACAGTACCGCCGCCTTCATCCTTCATCTATAAAATTCATTCAAACCTTGACCTGATACCGAGGCGCAGTCGAGTGCCAATAGCAGCTTCCACCAACATAAAGTTCAATAGCCTCAAAGTATTGCAAGATCTCCTTTGAAGCGGGCTTCTTCAATCTCTCCTCCTTGAGCTTCGCAGCGAGGGACTCTTGTTCAACAATAACACCAAGCAGCATCACCTTTGCCGCTTCAGCTGTGGTGTTGTGCTCCTTCATCAGAACAGCCACTCCATTTCTCATCCGATCCGCCTGCTGCTCTTTCTCCATGTTCCAGCTGAAGTAGTCATTGGTCAGACCGAGGACATTGCCCATTGCAGTGTCGAATTGCTCGACGCTGGCGTAGTCCTCCTCGCTGAGGGCGATACCCATTCCCCAGCGCACGAAGTAAGAGGACATCCTTGATGATAGTTAGTCTTAGGCCTTGGAAATTTCTTGGAATGATAGAACTTACCAGTAGCCGCTGTTGGCGATGCGGTAGGGCATGTAATCTTCCATTCGGGTGAAGACTCCACCGATGCTGTCGAATGTTGCGAGGTATTTCTTCAGCATCATGATCATGGTGGGAGCTTGGGCAGGATCGATGTCAATCGCCTTGCGAAGGACAGCTGCCAGAGTCTTTTGTCGCAGATTTCCATTCTTGAACATGGATTGATCAATGTCAAGTCGGAGGACCTTGGCCATCTCATCGTGCTCTCGGCATGCCTATAGATTGTTAGATAATTATCATGTATACCAGATTCTAGAGCTCTTACGTCAACATGTTCCATCTCTTCGGTCATGTCTGTGGGTAGGTTGTGAGCATAATACATAAATATTGATGACATTGGTGGCTTACCATCGTGGATCCACAGCACCTCGGCCAGGCAAGAGAACAGAACGAGTCTTTCCGGGAAGGCGGAGCAGTGGCAAATGGTGAAGTAGCTGCCATAGGGGTTGGCATGTCGGACAATCGCCTGACGTCTTTCCCTTGTGCCTTCCTCGCAAGCTAGCTCGTCAATGCGTCTGAGGGCATCTTCGACTTCCCGAGCAGCAATGCTGATTCCGGCCGGGTAGCGGGAAAAGAAGATGGGGACTTTGTAGCCTTGCACGGACTCAAATACCGAGGGAATGGTTGAGACGGGGCCGGCGGAAAAAGTGGGTGCTACCTGCATCTTGAGGATTTGATTTGGGATTTTGGGTGGATTTTGGGTTGATCTGGGATTGATCTGGGATTGATCTGGGATTGTTCTGAGAGTGTATGAGAGTGTGTGATTGAAAAGAACATCCTTGAAGGCAGCAGCCTGTTTATATAGACAAAGATGAAGGTACGGAGTACATTGTGAATGAGTATCTAGACCTTCCAGAATCAGAGATGGGACGTGTATACTCGGGGATCTCAAATCGGGGTCCAAAGGATCTGCAATGGACCAAACGGAAGTCTTTGCGGATTAACTATAAAATGGGTCCAGTTCGCCAAGAATATTGGAATCAATAAGAAAATATGTAATATGCATGGTATCACATTACTAGCGATCGATCTACTGCGCTAGTCGTGATAGACGATGGATCCGTACGATCGGGACACCCTAAAAGGGAATTCAGGGCTGAGTACCTTTCTATGTATCATCACATATTATGTAGTATATTTGATTTTCTATGGATTAGCCAAATATAGAAAAGACATGTTATTGAAACAAGTTTCATACAAAGTAGATATTGCTTTTTTAACTAAAACATCCAATTGTTTGAAGGATCCCGGAATCCTGGATATATGCAACTGACATGCAGGGAAGCTGAGAACTGGGAATTTGGACGCATAACCCGGGTATCCCGGGAACCAAATATTCGGGTCACTTGACATATATTGAACTTTTTCTTTTAAAAAAATCCTTTTGGTACTTTTGATTATAATCTATATCTTACATCCTACTCACGGGACCTTGCAGGCATTCTAGATCCCCGAGGAACGAAAGTACGTCCACATTCATGTGAGGATCTTCCTTGCATCGGCTGTGATCCGGTGGCAAGACCATCTTTATGAAAAGATGCCTACGGAAGGGAAACAACAGCTCCCCGGGGCCCACTTTGGTGCTTAATAGAAGCTTTGGTAACCTCGTAACCTCAGCTGGGAAACACATGACCACACAGCCACTTGGGCACTCGATATATGTGATTGGGCAGATGGTAGAAGCTATCTCTATTTGCCATGATGATCATTATGTTAGCATTACAGTTTTACTGTGAAATTATACAAGTGAAAGCCGTACATTGTAAATAGATACATGGGAATATAAAAAATAACAAAAAGCCAACCTCGGTGGTCTAGAACCTCCCTACTTAGTTAGACATATTTTGTTTGGCCTGGACGATAATATCTTCCCAGACAGAGAGGTCAACGGAGGGAGTCCGTAGACCCTTACTTGGTGAGACAGGTCCACTTCCCTCGAGCGAAGGGCTGTCGCTAGCCAGGTCCAAGATAGGTTCTCCATCTCGAGCAAAGGTGATCAGCTCTTCTTCGGTACCCCATTCGCTCATAGCCATCAACCCAATAGGAACACTGCCATCAGCTTTACCGGTATAACCAATAGGGCAACTGATGGCAGGACAGCCAATAAAGTTGGCCAGCCAAACATATTCCATGTTTCGCACAGAGGATTTGCTATCTGACAAACCGCGAGACAAATCCGCCTCACCGCCATCAATATGCCAGCCAGCCATAGGCGTTGTGGGCGAGACGATGAGTAGCCCAGGGTGGGTCTTAAAGAGATGCGCCAGATGCGTCATGAGGAGATTTCGCAGCCTCTGGGAGGCGAGCAAATCCTGTGCGGTAATCTGGTACATTCCCATAGAGACAAGAACCTTATTCGAGGCCGTGAGATGCCGGATCTTGCTTGCATCAACGCCAGACGCGATCTCCGCCATGATAGTAAGAGCGTGTGCGCGCTGACCCTCGGGCAGGTAAGGAATTGTAACATCGATAATGTTGTAGCCTTGCTCTCGGTAATAGTCGAGCGCCCGATTGAGCGCAGCGCGCACAGGGCCCTCGGCGCGGTCATTCCAGTCGCGCACAATACCAATTGTCTTTGTCCTCTTGGCATCAGGGTGAGGGGTAACAGGAGAAGGGAACTGCGATGAAATCGGGTCTTCTGAAGCTGGTGCCGGAGTCGCCATGATGCGATAGGCGAGAGCGAGGTCATCGATGTTGGCAGCCATAGGCCCGATAACGCCAACGGTGGGAGCGAGACTTTGGGATGGCGCGGCGGATATACGGCCATGCGAAGGCTTCAGGCCCCAGATACCACAAAATGACGACGGGATCCGAATTGAGCCTCCGCCATCTGCGCCGAGCGCAATGGGTACAAGGCCCGCTCCGACAGCATATCCAGAGCCACCAGAGGAGCCGCCACAATAGTACTCTTTATTGTGAGGGTTTCTGGGTGTTCCATAGTTGGGATTGTTGTTGTTTGTGTCTGAAGAGTGTTAGCTACTGCAACTGAGTGTTGGCCAATTGGAAACTCACCCAGTCCAAGCTCATGCATGGATGTCTTCCCAATGATTATAGCTCCGGCATCCAGCCATTGCTTCACACACCACGAAGTCGCATCAGTGCCGTGCTTGAAATCCAGCTTCGAACCTAGCGTGCGCTTATACCCCGTGAGGTGCACCTCATCCTTCACTGCGACTGGCACGCCGTCAAGCGGCCCCAAAGACTGGCCCTTCTTGTAACGCTCCGTAGATTCTTCTGCTGCTGCGCGAATCAACTCGGCCTGAGACTCAAGGAATGCAGTTGAGTGTTTCCCGGGTGGCTGGCTATCACGTCGGACCAGAGGCAATAGCGTTTCGATGACAGCGGTCGGGGTCAGCTCCCCTGACAAGTAGAGCTCGTGGTAGTCGGCGGAAGTATAGTATCCATAATCCCCTTTCCTGCGCTTCACAATGCCAGACGCGTCTTTCGCTGCTGGCTCTGCCTGGCTGGTATTATCGACCGGGATGACGGTTGGATCGTAGCGGCCCGCGTACTGGCCCAGGTGGGGGATTTCACGAATGACACCGAAGCCGGCATTGCGCCAGAAATGGCTTTGGATAAATCCGATATTATGGATTCTGGAACAAACAGCGGAAATTTAGCATGCGATCGCTATCGCTGAACGGAGCTCTCCTGTAACTTACAATGTAGCGCCGATGGCTAGGGGCGTGCCACGGAAGATCGGTAGGACCTGGTCTTCATACTTATATGGCACTTTGGGACCCTCACGTGCTGGGGGATAATTAAGAAAAGATTGTTCGTTGGACATGTTGGTTGTAGAATGAGGTTCAACTCTCTCGGAGCTGGCTCATATGTTGCTCCGATATCACATGCCGCGGCTAAATGGTTCCTCTCCAAGTTTCTACACCAATGATATATATATGTTACATGCAGATGCGGATATGCAATTCCTTTGTACATATTTATATAAATTGTTCTAAATTGGACTAATTTGCTCTAATTCGGATAATAGTACATGGGTATTGTAATATATCTACAAACTCAACTTAATATTGTACTTGTCCATCCCCAGAGCAGCACCAGTTAGCACCGCCGCATAGACAATCAGGATACCCATAGCCTGTGGTGTGTTGAGATCCAATGTTGGGATGCTCAGGTTCACTGCTCCAGTAAGTAGGTTTGCAATCAGGAACAGTGCAAGACCGCCGCGGTTGAAGGCATGTAGAATCCGACTGGTCGCAAAAGATGTCTGTTCTGCCTCACCTTCCTTGCTGGTCGCTCGGTGGACCGCGGGGAAGAATACAGTCTCGGTCAAGCAGAACAGGAAAAGCTGGGCACTATTGAATGCTGCCACCCAAAGCACATATGGCATGTTGGCCAGCCGGCGGGACACTGGGATGTTGGCACCATAGCCGAATGCGTAGGTAGAATTGAAGAAGAACATGGTAGACCAAAACATTGTCTGGAGAACCAAGCGCATCAGAACAGATCTCCGCGCCTTCTGGGGCGATTCTGTGGCAGATGTACCACGAGGAATGATACGGACTCCAACACCCCGTCCAGCGAGGAAGATCGCAAAATATCCAATGAAAGAAAAGACTCCCTCGCGGTTCTTGGACAGCAGATCGGGTCCCCGAGGAGACACGAGGATGTATCCCTTGAGATCAGTCGATTCTAGAGCGACTTGGTAAAGCACTGCAATCCCAAGTGCAAGCGCCTCATAGGAGGGGATCAGTGTAGTCAAGGAGTCAAATAGCTCCACGAAAGGAGGCAAAAATCCAAGCGTGAAGAAGAAGTTCCAGTGCACACCATATTCTGTCACATGTTCCGCATAGTCCAATCCCTTCACACTCCACAGTCGGATGAGGCCCAGCACAAGCAGAGGAATAGAGTGTCGAGCCGACCCAATCAATCTCTTATGCAAAGCTAATCTCGGGGATTTCGAGTTGCGGCCCTTCAGAACTGCGCGCGCAGACACTACTCCAGCGGAGAAAACAAAAGAGCCTACACCCAGGTCCATTAGAGATGTTCCCCAGTTCTCGACCTTGGCAAAACGACGCGGGAACGCGCGGAAGTCGACTGCGAGAATAGCTATGCAGGTAACAATCATCATAGCTGCGCGATATGTGGTCAAGAAGGGGTGAATGGGTAGGGCCTGCTGTTCCTCCTGGGAGCTCTCATTTTTGGCCTTGGGTTTGCGAGGCGGTTTGGCTTTTCGGGGTGTGCGTAGATTGTTTTGGGTGAGGAATAGGAGGACCGCGGGGGAAAGGAGGAAGATGTTGAGGAGAAGCGGTGCGGAGGAGTATGCAGTCGTTGCAAATAAGATGGCTAGTACATTAAGGATGAAGTCGGTCGCGAGTGCTGCAGGACCGTAGGGTGTGAAGAAGGATAAACGGGACTGGAGCGCGGACCAAAGGAGGACAGATGTCTAGAGTTGCCACAGGTCAGGATATATCAATTGCAAGGTAGAGTCTCGAGGTTTCTCACTGAAGCAACAAGTGTGACTGTATTGATCTCGAGGATGGTGCTTCCCGCAAGATTAGACACAAAGGCCTCTTTTCGAGCTTTGTAGCTCGGATCCATATTGAGCAGTTATCAATATAGATAGGGCTGTCAAAAGGTCAACATTTAAAGAATGACGTGTTGGAATGGTGGAGGGTTGGAGCTCTAAATGTTGTGTTTACCCGTGATCACCTGACCAATTTACTGTCTACAAATCCCAAGAACAACTGTCAAGATCAATAATGACACTGTGTCAATTACGTCAAAGTCTTGTGGCATAACTAACGCCTATGTGGCTGCTCCCATGCCTCACAGCAATGGTGGCTAGCTTCAAGGTTGGCTTTATGGCTTTACAGCTTTGCAATCAGGAGGTGGACAACTGTTCGCATGTAACTTCTGTATTAATCAATTTTTTGTAGTAGGTCGTAAGTATCTAGTGTCTATTAACAATAACATTTTAGCACGTTGTGCTTGATATCAATATGCAAAAGAATCATGATCTCGGCTTTCCACGTCCACCACCGCCACGACGTCCTCCACGGCCTCCGCGGCCGCCACGCTTCTCAATACCGCCTCGGTCTCCGTGACCAGCTCCAGGGCTAAGTGCATCACGACTCTTGCCACCTCGAGAAGAGTTGCGAGGTCTAGAGGATCCGCCTCGGTTGAAATCATTTGGGTCCGCATAGGTGAAACCCGGAATGCCCTTCAAACCCATCTTGCCAATGACCTTTTTGTCCATTGGAGGAGGCTCAGGACATCCCATGCCTTTGACAGCCATCTCGTTGGCGAGTTGTACAAGGCCAGCCTTGTCGAGACGAAGCTGTCTCAGAAGACCTGATCCAGCGAAGAAACCAATGAAAGACGAGTAGGCACGTTGCTTCGACTCTTCGTCGATGGTGTACATGGCCTGCAAGACGGCTTTCTTACACGCAGGAGCGCCAGCATTGATGGCTTCGGTATCGGGGTGGGGCTTGATTGGCAAATGGCGGTTTTGCTTCATGAAGAATGACTCGCCCTCGGTGAGGAGAATGATAGCGCGGCCATCAGCGCCAGCACGGGCGGTACGACCGACCCGGTGAATGTACTGCTCGCCATTTGATGGCAAACCGACCTGGATGACCAAGTCGACGTTAGGGAAATCCATACCACGGCCAATAACATCTGAAGCAAATAGAATTCCAGATTCGGCCTCCTTGAATTGATTCGTGGTTCTTGTGCGAGCACCCTGGTTGAGTCTGGAGTGAATCTCAAACACCTTCAAGTGGACCATGCCCTTACAGAATACTCCTGCGAGGAGAGCAACCATGTGTGCAGTCACGCCGAAGACGATAATTTTCGAGCTGTTCTTGATTTCAAGCTTGAGCAGGGAGGCGAGGGTGGTGAAGGTGTCTGCCACAGATGGCATCAGCACGTGGTACTGGGGGACTCTCTCATGGGTTGGTGATTCATTCTTATCAATGGTGGAGATGCTGGTGTAGTCTCTCCTCAAGACGATATTGACTACATCCTTGACCTTGGGTGGGACGGTGGCTGAGAAGCACATGCCTTGCCACCCAGTGCTCTTTTGTGGGATGAGTTGGAGGATTCGTTTCACATCAGCAATGAAACCACTCTCAAGCATCGTATCGGCTTCATCCAAAACCAAAGTTTGAATGTTAGACAGCTTCTTGGCGGTGGGGGTTTCAGATAAGTAGTCGCACAGGCGTCCTGGTGTAGCGACAAGAATGGATGGTGCACCCTTCATGAAACGCGTATGAGCAGATGCTCGGGCCGTTCCACCAACTGCAACATGGCACTCAAGAGGAGTGGGAAGTTGAGATGTTAGCTGATCACACGACTTTGCAATTTGCTGGGCAAGTTCTCTGGTTGGGGTAATGATCAAAATTCCGACCTTGCCTTTGGGTGGCGCGGAATCACCTTGGAGCAGGCAGTGCAATGCAGGCAACAAGAAAGCAAGGGTTTTTCCAGTTCCAGTTTTGGCTTGGACAAGGCAGTCACTGCGCCAATTGGGAAGCTCGGTCAAGACACGCTGCTGGACAGGGGTCATGTTGGTAAATCCCATCACATCAAGGGCTTTGAGGAGCTTGGAGTCAAGCTTCCCAGCCATGGTTGAGTATAGCTGGGTATCATTGCTGAGTTGAAGACCTTCCATGATGGTCAACACTTTAATATTTCTTCAATAAAACTGCAGTTAATTGTTTTGATGAAAATTCAAACTCGAAGTGGCGAGTGAATAACTTTTATGATGAAGCAAGACAAAAGGGAAGGTGAGAGTGAGTGTAGTGCTGCTTCCTTCTTCCTTCTTTCCAATTTTAGCAAAAGTTAGACTTGATAGCTTGATGATGTGAATCAATCCAAACTTGGAAGTTTATATTTGACAAAGAAGAGATTTGTTGCCAAGCATTTAAGATTGTCCCAAAGTCTGGTAAGCAGGATGTGATTGGTTGCCCTGTACCCACCCTTTCGCTTGATGTCACGTGTAATATGGGTCAGTTCCAGGAAAGATGAACCTAACCGAATAGGGTAATTCACCTCCAGGGGTTTATTTTCAAGTTAAAACAACACAGAGATCTAGGTGGAATACTTTCTCCAAATTAGCTGTTCAACTATATATTCGGTACTTTTCCCTGATGGGAATCACTTTTCATATTGCCAGCTGCTAGTTCAAACGTTAGAGCCAACTGGTAGGTTGCATGCAGGCCGTTGTGATCATTTATGCGTGAAAAACATACAGCAATATACTCCGTACATGGTGGAATGGTCTGGAATGAAGGAAAATCAGTATGTCAGAACTTACATTTTAGAGAAAAGCTTGCGGGTTGTATCGGAGCCATATCCAATTGATATGATTCGCCCGGCTAGGCCGATCACTCAACATCCATAAGGCAAAGACCGATAACGCAGTACTTTTGTTGTACCATGTTGTAGCACGGAGGAGACAATCTCCGATTATGTTCCTCCGGTGTCGACTTCGCTTAAAGACACCTCAGCCACAATATAACATTTTCATCCACCATAGCGATCCCTCATTCCCAGCCGTGTGTGCGGGTCGGTTTCAATTGAGTTAATCAATCTGTGACTGCGTGATTCTATTCCCACAGACTGGAATGAAGCGTGTTCAGGCGATCAGCCACATGCATAATAATTTACGAGCGGTTACTCCGGCTCGCGGTAAACCCTTAGAATCCGGCACCAGCATCCGTAATGATCGGCCGGGGGACACGGACCTGGTCTAAAATGCAAACATCCACATGCACGGTGCCTGTTAAACTCTTGGTATACGATAGGGCCACCATGTTCGAAATAAACGTGTCCGATTCCCCACTTACAGACATCCACATGGCGCGCATCGCAACTACGGTTCACAATGTACGGAATAGGCATTGGCGAGTCGCCTCTGTACGTTTCAGATCATCCATTTAATATCAGCGAATATTGTGCTGTTCTCATAGCAGGTTTCAAAATTCGAGCAGGGCGAAGCAGCATGGATGCATTGGGTGATTCTCAAAGGATCTATGTCGCCAAATGAGAAATCAACAGGATCATTAGAGGTACAAAATGTAGAGATCGTTCTGCTTCCCAAAATGCCGTTAGATCGTTCATCAGGGCAGACACCGCACTAATTGAATAATAGAACCTTTGCGGCAGCCCCCTGTTGTATACGGAGTAAGTACATGCACTGTCCGAATGATACCCGTGGAGGCCCAGAGGAGCCTAATCTTCGGTGATCATCGGCGTTTAGAAGGGGGCCAAAGGATTCTTACTCCGTACATGCTCCATCTCCACAAGGACGCGGATCACCAATAGTTTATGAATGCCTAATTGGCGCAAGGCGTACTTTTTAGTACTTTTTCTACTACCCCCGCTTGGATGAACACCTTCCTCAACATCCAAAAATAGCAAAGGAACATATATTAAATGCCCACGGTGTCGGGCACAAGGCCCTTATAAGTGGCTAGATCTTGGCAATCCAAAAAGAGCGGACCTATGGGGGCGGCTCACCGTAGTGGCTAGAAAGAGAGCGCTATATTCAGACCCGTAGCTATCCACACAGTTCGTCTATTTCTCCACGCCGATTGGGCGCTTACAGGTCGGGTTGAGGTCTCGCTTTCGCCGCATCATCGGGAGATTTGCCTGGCTTGTTAATCAATCTGGAGAAAAGGAAATGAGTGTTGACAATATTATGGTATTCTCAAGGCCACTCCGTTGTTGAGAAGGTTACAGCCCCTGAAAGCATGGCTATACCTCGCACAACGTCCTATTTTCCTCTACCCTGTATAGTCGTTCAAGCTAATCCAGCAAGGGCCCTTGATTCGCACGATCTGTCACGTTCTGCCTTGATCCCTGCTCGGCTCGGAAATAGTCCACCCACACGTCTTTGCAAATCAGTAACCCACCACTTCCCCTCATGTTAGCTTCTCGCCAGCTGTTCAGTACTAGGTCCGTGATCGTCAGCCGGGGGGTTCTCTTTGAAAGGCTCTGGGCAACAGAGAGAAGCCAGATTGCTAACACACCAATAACCATGAGCTCTCAAGATGAACCACCTGTGAAGAGACGTGAGTCTCGATCGGGGACAAGGAAAGTCTCGACCCTGTCACTGGAACAACTGGAGCGGAAGCGTGCCAACGATCGAGAGGCTCAGCGCTCCATCCGTCAACGCACGAAGGAGCATATAGAACAACTTGAAGCTCAGGTCGCCACCCTCCAGTCACAAATTGCAGAGATGCGGCCCCAAAACGAGCGGTTCCATGAAGTCATGCAACACAATGCCTTTCTGGAGAATGAAGTGATCCGGTTGAAGAATCAAGTTGCTTCTTTGACCGGCCGACCGGAGTTTGCATCAAATAACCAACCGATGGGTCCGGTTCGAAGCGGATGGTCGGAAGAAGCCTCAGATAGTGCATTATCGGGCATCCCAACAACGGGGGCATTGCTACCGCCACACTTCACTGCAACATCTCACACTCAAAGACCCCCGGGCCATCCAGGGCCCCGTCGGGCGTCCCATCAGAATGAGTGGCAACAACCATATCTGTCCACAAGATCGCCGTCGCTCGGTGCAACATCCAACCCGGAATTTCCTAATCGAATCGAGCCGTATCTCGTGGATGGCCAGATGAATCAAGGACGGCCTATCTGCCCACCCCAGCAACAATCCGAATCCTCTTTCTCCCAGTTCACTTACGGCAATCGGTCACTTTCAATGTCGAGTGCAAGTCCCATTCCTCAACCAAGTCCTACCCCAGCTTACCAACCCTCCACATCATCGTACCCGCAGCCAATACCTGAATCGCAGCAGACGGATCCGACATACGAGTATTCATGGGCACCTCCGTCTTGAATAAAGCACACGCCAGACAAGCGGGGCAATCTAAGGGCATTATGTCCTAGGTGGAAAGACAATGTCTCACGAGTTCAGGCCGGAATTAGTAATCGTCGAACCGGTCTCACAGCATGTGAGTTTCGTTGACGAACTTTAATAAAAGTATGCGTACTGATTCATGATATAGACAGGCTCTCGGACTCGGAAGTTGCGGAAATCGCGATCGAAATTCCTATTTTCACATAAAAGTAAGAACGGAAATAACAGCCGTGACGAATAAAGCAGCCTGTCGGAGAAGCTCCGGTCCCACATCCGGACTATGTACAACATACGACATACGATACTCGGGACTCGATGAGCGGTAAGCCGGCAACTTGAATTCAACGCCGGACAACTCGTTGGAATTGGATATACAAATAAGGCTGGGCACATGGGCATGACTGAGGCCATCATATGACTTTACTCCTCTTAGGTATACACTGTGGCATTTTATGCATCCCAGTGGAGTGAATCTCATATGGTCACAGGGAGAACCCATGATAGCTCTTCATATTCCGTATACCCCAAAGGGAACCATGAATACATACCTAAAAAAGAAACAAAAAATACGCCAAAGTGCGCTTGGAAACAAACTATTTATAAGCAAAGCCATCTAGGTAGACATCTCGTCTAGTTCGTGTACTGCTTTTGAAGAAGCTTGGCAATGGTCTGCAGCTGGATGTTGCTGGTACCCTCGTAGATAGCGCCGATCTTGCTATCACGGAACATCTTCTCAGCAATTCCCTCGCGGACAAAGCCCATACCACCCATCCACTCAACAGCGGAGCTGGACACCCGGCCAGCGACCTGAGAGGCGTATAGCTTAGCCATGGCGGCATCCTGGACAAAGTCCTGGCCGGCCTCCTTCTTACGGGCGGCATTGTAGACGAGAGCGCGGGCAGCGGCAATCTCGGTGTAGGCCTGTGCAATCTGGTGCTGCATTCCCTGGAAGTTTCCGATGAGCTCGCCGAATTGGCGGCGGTCGTTCCAAACGTATCTTTGAATGTGGTCAGCTGATGGCATTCATATGCACGCGTATATTGTATAGGAAAACTCACCGTGCAGCGTTCTCCCATGCGCCGAGAGCCAGTCCGGTCATCTGAGCGGCGATTCCAATACGACCCTCGTTCAACACGCTGATGGCATACTTGTATCCTTGTCCCTCCTCGCCGAGAAGGTTGCTCTTGGGGATGACACAGTCGTCAAAGTTGAGCACACAAGTGCTGCTAGCGCGAATTCCAAGCTTCTTTTCCTTCTTGGCGATTGAGAAGCCGGGAGTGTCCTTCTCGACAACGAAAGCAGTGATGCCCTTGTAGCCCTTGCTGGGATCAATGTTGGCAAAGACGATGAAGATACCAGCCTCCATAGAGTTGGTAATCCACATCTTAGAGCCATTGATCTTATATCCATCGGCGGTCTTCTCAGCCTTAGTCTGGAGCGCGAAGGCATCAGAACCAGACGCAGGCTCGGACAGACAGAATGAGCCAACAGTACCGGTAGTCAGCTTAGGCAGCCAGGTACGCTGAGCCTGAGCATCGCCATATTTCATGATCGCAGTGTTAACCAGTGTGTTGTGAACGTCGACCATCACGCTGACACTGGGGTCAACACGTGCCAGCTCCTCGATCGCGACGATCGCCGCAGTGAAGTTCATCCCCGCACCACCGAACTCCTCTGGCACCTCAATGCCCATCAAGCCCTGCTCGAAGAGCTGTTCCACGACCTTCGCATCCATAGTCTCGGCTTCGTCCATTTCCCGTACCTTCGGGCCGATTTGCTCCAACGCGAACTTCGATACCGAGTCGGCCATCAGGGATTCGGTCTCGGACAAAAGGCTGATCGGCGTCGGAGTCAGCTCAGAGAGATCGACCTCCCGCCGGCGGGGGGTGGTTGAGAATGCATAAGCGCTGTAATGGAGGGAAGTTTGTTAGCGAACATGTTTTTCAAATAGCATGTGCTCCTGGGCTAGATGGTACCTTTGTACGGGCCGGCCGGCAGCGATTCGTCCCAGGCGGACGGGAGTGCGCGACAAAGGCCGCAATGTGCGAATAATAGAAGCCATTGTGAATAGAGGGGAAATAAGCTTAATTGGCGAGGAAAGAGAAGGGAAGTGGAAGAAGAAAGGAAAAGGTCACGATCACAAGGGAGTGAGCCTCGGTTATCGGCGGCGTTGGGGATCCGCGGGGAGTCTCCACATGTCTGTTTAACCTAGGTCCAACGGAAGGGAACATGAGTTTTACTATATTCTATATAGAGTATTCTATATAGATCACTTATAAACACTAACACTTGCTAGCTCGAGGACACTAACGCATGCACGTCATAAACTTGCTTTTTCTGTATTTCAAAACCAGTACACTGAAACACAGAAAAAGATGTGAGCTGTATACTGGTAAATGCTTATGACTAATCAATAGTATTCGAATTACCGAAAGAGGTTTGTGACGTGCATGCATGTCCCTTCTCGAGCTGGCAAGTGTAAACAATAATATACATTAAACAACTTTTTGATCCTTCCTATCACGCATCAGATCCTCATCAGAGATATTACTACCCGACGGACCCTGACCCTCCGCGTCCTCAAAACGAGTGACAATCTCAGTTCTAACCATCACATCTTTCTGTGTATTGACAATATGTTCCTTACTTCCGTTCGTTCCACCAGATGTGGTGAGCTCCATCCATCCGAGGTCGTCATCGAATGACTTCCTCCCCCCAAATGCGTTGGACTGAAAATGTGAATGGCTCGGTAGGTTGGACTTGTGTGTGCCATAAGCTGCATGTCCGCTCGAGTCGCGGTACTGATAGGGAGTCGACGTTTTTTTTGAGCTTAAACCCAAACGTTGCATCACCCTTTCCATGAGTGGCCGAATGGGTGGTATACAGCCAACGATGATGACGATCCAAGCTTCTGTCGAGGCCCAGATAAGGAGGGAGGATTGAGCGTCTGTTAAAAAAATACTATCAGCAAAAACAGTTTTGTTTTCAAGGGTGTAACGATGGATCCCAACTTACAGGTGATATCAGTTGTTTGGGTCAACGCCTTGAGCTCATATGTCTTGACAGCGGAGCAGACTGCGGCTCTGCATTCCGAGAAATGTTAGCTCCGGACAAGCTAAAATGTTCGGTAAAGTACTTACACCCAACCCAATCCCATGAGGACAGACAAGGCGACCTTGATCCGCAATTTCATCTGGAGTTTCCAAAAGAGGTGAATGGGATATGACGCCAACAAGGCGTCGCTAAATGCGTTGAAGCCTAACTCGTTAGCAAACGCTCAACTCTTGAATGCGTCGATGCAATAAAACTCACTAGCCTGAAAGAATGAATAGTTCTGATTCATTTTTCGCCCCGGATCGCATGTTCCTTCAACACTGTCATCCCACAATTTGTGCATCGGCTTGCATTGACCTAGAATGGTTCCAAGAACAGCGATATTGATTGTCCCAATGAGAACACCCAGAATGATTAAGAACCAAGGCTTCGTATCGTGACGACCACGAATCTGGATAAGGAAGGCGAGAATCGCAAGCTTTCCCAGCATACTGGAAGCTATTGCCAGTAACTGGAATACCCATGACCAGTGCAGTGCTTTAACTATCTGCAAGTCCGAGAGATCATCCAAGTGATGGCCCATTCCAGCATTGACTGAAAATTGCAGAAATATCTGGGCAACGACTTCGGTTGCCTGTGAGAAACACACTCATTAGCATCTGTTATGGAATTGAAACTTTTTATAAAAGGCCAAACACTCACCACCGTCAAACCGGCGACAGCAAAGTCCCATCTAAACCGCCCGACAAATTTCCAGTTACTCAGGAATCGAAGGCTGAAAAGGAATAACCCAATGCATGTTTCTGTCCAAGAAACTGCAAGGATTACCGCAGAATTGTTTCCGGCCATCTCTGGCCTTCAGTGAGAATGCCTCCACGCGTTGCGCAGTATAGACAAAGCAAGAGAAGGTGCGGAATGGTCAAGTCAGATCTCAATGCATTTGCCTGGTCTCACCCGCATCTTGTACAGACCACTCAGAAGCTGGTAAAAGATGCTCTGTGGTCTCGGCAAACTCCTACGCGATGAACAGGGGTTAAATCATCCCATCGATGATTGCGATTGGAGAAGAGCCATTTTTCCAAATTAGCCCCAGAACATCGCGGAAAGTAGAAGGATTACGGAGTACGCTAACAGGGTGTCTTGAAAAAATATTGTCTTCATAATAAATTAAAGTCGATATAAATTAATTAGTTAATAAGGAAGTGGCGATACGGAGTACCACATACCGGAGCTGAACCCTGGGCAATAAAATTCTATCCATCTAGATCAATTTTCGAGCTGAAAAGCTGTATTACCCGAAGCTCAAAAGATTATTGATGATTGGCTCCTAAGCTAAAGATATGTTGCCCCAGGGCAGATCTCTGTGTTAGTGTGTTTCGAGGGTGATGTGAATAAATTGGGATTGTATGTCACATATACTGGCCTATGTGAGTGCATGACTGCACAAACAATGTACATATGTAAAGAGGCCGTGTCGATATATTGAGTACGGAGTGTACTCCGTCAGGGTCCTAAGGTTGTACAACATAAACACATAGAATAATCAAGCGCCAAGGAATAGCGATGTACGAATATGTATGGCTGCATATCAAATGTGGATCCCCCTAAATGAAATTATATTAGAAGGATCCATTTATTGAAACAAGCGAGAGGGTATCGATTCACAAATCGTAAATCTCTATCGAGATACATGATGATCGGCAGTTACATGTATCCTTCCTTGGAGGCTCATACACAATGCCCACGTGTCTAACCTGATATTATGTTCTACTGTGAGGCTTAGCCCTTTGACTAGACGCAATATCGTAGACTATACCATTGTACTTCTGTACATTTTCCCCACTACAGGGATCGGCGGGGGCCCGGGAAAGGTTCTGGAGCCTTTCGCTTTGAAGCGATTGGGTGCCACAATATCTAACCGAGAAATCGTACAACATAAATTAAAACGCATATATCGCGTATAATGACTATCCTCTGGGGAAATATATATATATTAATTATTCAAAATAAGGAAAATTCCACGTAATCTCACACAGAAAGCTCCACACAGACTAGATGATACCAGCAGCCCGAAGGAAATCTTTCTGCTGCAACCAGACTCGGATATTCTTGCCCTTAAGATAAAAGGGAATGAAGACCAAGTAGACCACAACGTTAATAGTGGCAACTGTCATGAAGACACTCAACACACCATTGGAAGTGATATAGTCGTTGATCACCCACGTCCAGATCCATGCGATGCAACTCTTGAGAGCAGCAATCGTGACCATGATTTCGACGGAAAGCTGTAAATCCGAAAACGGAAACGATTAGCAAGTGTACTACAAGAGTGGGATCGAAGATTCATTACCTCTTTATGACAATCTAAGGCGTAGTTCATTCCGAGCGTGGTTCCCATTTGACTTCCTACCGACAGAACACCCGCCCCAACAACAGGCATTGCCCAATGCATTTGATGCTCATAAGCAAGTCCAAACCAAAGCGCACCGAATAATGTGAAAAATGCAGCCAATAGACAGGTTGGTAGACGCATCTCAGGCTCACGAATACCGTTATTGCGCTTAGTGAAGAAGTTGGCAATCCAATCACCGCCTGGACCAGAGAAAAAGACACCGAAAAGAGATCCAATGAAGGGCGACAGGAAGAATAGACCCTGACCGTTGGAATTGAATGTGTAGGGAGGGGGTGCAAAGAGCTGTGCCACCGACGCGCCGAGGATGACATTCCAGCTAAGAGCCATACCGTAAATACAGCATGACCAGAGGACAGTGGGATAGGCCACGAGAACGAACGGGCGAAGGAAGACATGAAGGAGATTCACATCTGGATCTCCGCTGTTCCAGAACTTGAGTTCTTGCGTAAAGGTCTTTTTGGGGATTGCACTTGACTCCTGCACTAGAACCTGGTCTTTCTCCCCATCGACTTTGGTGGTAGATTGGAATGGATCAGGACGAGGTCCGTCGAACTTGGTCTCCGGCATAAAGAAGAACATGGAGACCAAACTAGCACCAACGAACATAGCCACAATCCAAAAGGCCCAGTCCATTCCAAGTGCCTGCACGATAAATCCAGAAAACATAGGTCCCAGCTCATTGCCTCCCAAGACAGATAGTCCGTAGATGGCGATGAGCTCTCCGCGGTTGTGCAAGAAGAACATATCCGTCACGGTTGATGGGACAATTGACTCAATGGGTGCCTGGAAAGCGCCCAGGAAAGCACGCGCAACGAGGAAAACAGTGTAGGTTTTGTTGGATGCAACGGCTAGCCAGATACAGGCGATGGCCATGAGGAAGTTCGAGAAGAGGTAGATGGGACGGCGGCCATACTTTACGGCGAAGGGCATCCAGACGCAGTTCCATACACCCTGGTTGATTAAGCAAGCTCCGTTTGCATAGGTTAATTCCTGGAGGGGCTTGCCGAAGGTCTCGGATAGTTGCATCATACCTATATTCATCAGAACTGCCCAATACAGTCAATATAGATGATAATACATACCAGCTGCCATGATAGGTCCGGTAATAGCACCCATAAACGCGAACCAACAACCATTGAAGAAAGTCAAGCTTTTCTTCGTAGTGGACCAGTTCAAAGGATCATTTGGATCATTAATCGAAGGTTGCGGGACTAATAACATGCGGCCATCGCCTGTTTCACGATGCTTCAACTGGTGAAGCCGCTCAGAGACACTTCCATTGTCGCTCCCATCAAACAATATTTCGGTTCCAGGTGCGGCATGGAACTCTTTGACTTTCCTCTCGGGCTCGGGTTCTGAGTTATCTGACATATTGAAGATGCCCAAGAGGGGCTGAAAATTGAAATAGAAAAATAACGAGTGTCAAGAATAGGAAAAAGAAAAGAATGACTTTGAGCACTGATTGAAATAAGGTGGAAATCTCCTTTTTTTTAATACTCGGAATATAGTACATAGCCATTCCCATTTTAGTCCGAGACAATATCGAGATAGTACACTAAGAATTCAGCCAAAACGGCTTTGATACATTCTTTTAGCGTCACAGCAATGTATTTTTTAGAGCCAATCATAAGTCTAGCATGGCCGACTAGCATTGCGCTATGTAGGGGATCTATGTTGGCTGTCGTAATAAAATGCTTAGTGCGTGTGAAAAAAAGGTAGCTCTTCATCCCGCCCTGAACACACTATATTTCGGTGGATTCCTCTGTCCAATCTATTAGCCTGAACTTGTCAAATTTTCATAAATTTTGAATCCACTCAATATCCATTCGCTTCCAAGTCTCTAATCGACTTCACTTTGATTGGAAGGCATGTTCTGGCCGACTTCCGGACTTCCCCTCCAGCTTGTCTCATACATGTACTTCGTACCCCAACATAAGTCATTTAAAAAGTGAAAAACAGTACTGTTCAATTTATTCTGGAAGAAGTTTAGTCAAAATCTAGTGGACAAAGATAATGGCTCCGTCCCGAGACTTTGCATTCCAGCAGGATGGTTCTAGCGGTTTACCAGGTTCTGTGCCAGTGCTCATTGTGGGCGGAGGTCCAACTGGTTTATTGCAAGCCATCCTTCTGTCTCGACTCGGAGGTATGGATGCTTGCAGAGAATTCGACAGGAACATTTTGTTGACATTATGTAGTTCAATCATTGATCATCGAGCGTTATCCCGAGCGTCTGGCTGCTCCCAAAGCTCACGCGATCAATCCCCGCTCTTTGGAGATCTTGCGTCAATTCAACCTAGGCGAGAAACGCGTGCGTCAGCTAGGCACTTCGCGAGATGATAGCTCCTCAGTCAATTTCCTCACCAATCTTTGTGGGGAAGCGATCGGCAGCCTCCCGTATGAGCGCATGGATCCTGCGGTCTTGGATGATACGCCAGAGGTACTTGCCCGCAAGTAAGAGAAGAACTGGAAACATGAAACTGACCAATGGAAACAAATAGATGATCCATAATATACCTCAACCAGCTCTAGAGCAAGAATTGACCAATCTTATTGCAAAGGATCCCAACGTTACCTTGGTGAAGGGATTCAGTATCCATGCCGTGGAACAAGTAAGTATACGACCCATTTATGTTAATGAAGCAATGCGGTTAACTGAAAACAAGACTGAAAATGAAGTCGTAGCGACCATTGAGGAACGATCAACTGGACAACTCCATCAAACAAAATCCCGCCACCTCATAGCTTGTGATGGCCGTAGAAGCAAGGTCCGCGAGCTGCTCGGTATTGAGTCTGAGAGCGAAGATTCCGACCAGACAATGATGACTATTCATTTCAATGCCAATCTGCGACCCGTTGTTGGTGACCGCGTCGGTATGCTGTACTGGATAATGGACCCTACAGCTGCAGGCTTTATCATCGGTTATGATCTCGATGGGATTCAGGTGCATATCAGTCAGGTAGACGTTAAAGAGCACCCGGTCGAGTCGTGGACGGAAGATATGTGCAGGGCCAAGATTCGCGGCGCCATCGGTAAAGATAACGTTCCGTTTGATATCTTGAGTTATCGCCCTTGGGTCTTCCGTCGCCAGGTGGCTTTCACCTTCCAGGAGGGGAATATCTTCTTGTGAGTATCTGTGGTACATTGACCCTGTGGATTCCTGCTGATGTTTTGGTTCCCTTTAGGGCTGGAGATGCTGCTCATTCATTCCCCCCAACTGGTGGGCTAGGCTTGAATTGTGGTCTTGCAGATGTTCACAACTTAGCCTATAAGATCGCTTTGGTCCACCAAGGGGTAGCAACACCGTCTATACTTTCAACGTACACTGCGGAACGACGAGGTGTTGCGGATTCGTATTCCAAGCAGAGCGTTAAGAACGGCAAGGAGATATTTGCATTGTTGCAAAGTCTGAAGACTGCTGGTGTTGAAGATATTGTGCAAGCACGAAAGAATATGATGGCAGCATTGGCGGATCCGGCCCAACGCAAACAGGTTGAAGCTGGTATTGATGGACAGAGGGAGCATTTCGACAATGTAAGTGGCTTGGTCGTAGTTTCCCCCCATGAAAACCAAGAGTAGTCTTGCTTACGCCATTTCTCATAGCTGGAGCTTCACATTGGATATGTGTATGGTGCTACAAAGCCACCTCCTCATGCTTCCCATTATTCTCCCAAATTTGTGCCCGGGGCGCGCTTGCCTCATGCTTGGATCAGTTTCCCAGATCATATCTCCCCGGAGACAGAGGCAGCCAAACTTTCTTCACTGCCTCAGGAGCCAGTCGACGTGTCCTACGTCAAGGAGCTTAACGCGGATCAGATTCAGGCTTGTCAGTGGAGTACTCTAGATCTCTGTGGTCTTAACTCTTGGACCTTGATCCTGGGGCAGGAACAACAAAGTCCTCGCATTACACTTTTACAGAAGCACTGTAACGCGATTGGTATAACTCTTAATACCTGGCGGCTCGGAATTGATTTTGAAATTGTCAGGCAAGGTTGGTTCGCTGATGAACTGGTCCGTGGAGGGATTCTGGTTCGCCCTGATCAGCACATCCTAGCAAGGATCACTGCCGAGACAGACGAAGAAGACGTGATTTCGGAGTTGAACAAACATCTTGGGATCTAGCAAAAGGAATTGCAATAGAGGCACATCATGCATAGATATATATCGACATTTTATTCATTGTAATGTGTCCCCAAGAATAGGAACCACTTTTGATCCCTGCCAAGCTAAAAGAAAACATACTTGACTAGTAAAGTTAAAAGCCCCTGCTCGTTGGGACATGACAATGTGATAATGCGCCTTCCGCTTCAATCGCCTTGACTTTGAGTCGCATCGGATGAATCAAAATCCAAGCAGCGCTTCGTCAACTTGATCAGTCTCGAAGTCAAATCGGACCAAATCCTCCTTATAAGGAATAAAGTATGTGCTTGTGACCCTAAATAACATGAGTTCCTATTGGCCACCAGGGACTCGAGATTTCCCGGGGAATTCTTACCTTTCATGCTCACTGCTATCTTGATATTCAGCCAATGCTGCTCGATCATCGTGGTAGCTCACTAGAGCATATTGAAATCCTTTGCTCTTTTCAACTGGGGTTGTAATTGAAGGGCTCCCAACAACAAGCCTTTGACTTTTAACACAAGGCAAGGACTTAAGTGTCTTGATTTGGGAAAGGAACTCCTGTTGCACTTCGTCGCCGACGTCGGCGCGGAATTTGAACAGAACTATTGAGGTTAATATAGTACTTGATTGTTCTCCAGAATGAGCCATACCAATATGAACAAGAACCATTCCGAATATCAGTTTTATCTTAGAAATAAAATTGCACGAGGTGATGGACTGGTTGAAACCGGAATTGTCCCTTCTAAATAGGGCGACGGATGCCATCCGTCCTAGGCGGAAGCTTCCCGCCTTCGCCCAAACCTTGTCAATTCCAGGGGTTTTCTCTTTACGTCTTTACAGAGACTCTTCATGCTAGGTCTCCTGTGTTAACGAAAGCAAACTCAACACCGAGGGACCGTGTCAGCTCTGGGATGGACTCTCCACGACGGTCTCGGAACCGCGCCGCCTGTCGGAGGTGTCAACGACGGAAAATCCGCTGCGACGGAGATCTTCCCCGCTGCGCATCATGCAGAAAGGCGAATGTAGCCTGTGTGAATGACGGCAAACAAGAAGTTAATCGCACGTACGTATTTTTATCAGACAAGTCACATGAATACTTATTCCCCCGCTCCTCTGTTGTTTCTGATACTCACAGCTGATTAGGTACATTGCAAATCTACAAAAGCGAGTGCAATGGTTAGAGTCCTTAGTCAAGGAACAAGATCCAACGGTCCAGCTAGATGGTGGCCCGCAAGTAGACCTATCAGATATCTCACAACTCGAACCTGCGGATGAAAGCACCCGGCTTGAGTCTGCTATCCCACAGGGCGCTCACATTCGGTCAATAACACCTCATCATGAACAGCCTGGGCCAGCAGACCCGCAACCGTCTCGAGCACATTCAAGGCCAGCCCACGAAATTGGTCTTGTCTCTCTTTCATCGGGAGAACCGAGATACATTGGCCCTTCGAGTGGATATTTCCTAGCAAACCTCGTATTTTCAAGCGCTGGCCGACGAACGGGGCCATCGGGAAACCATGGCAATGCAAACAAGCCAATGTCTCTTTCGTCCGAGTTTTTCAACAGCCCAGCCCCGCTCCCAGGTTGCAAAGAAGACGCTATGGAGCTTACTTCAAAGTACTTTTCTTCGGTGCATCTCATATACCCGTTTCTACACCAACCGTCCCATATGGCGAGACTCGAGAGAATGTACAGCACTGAAGCACCCTCCAACCCAGCGGATGTCTTTCACGTCTTCATGGTGCTTGCAATAGCAGCCTCGGATCTCTCTAGGCGGTTCAGAGTTCCTCTTCCGGCCGAGGGGTATTACACAGCAGCTACCCAGTATTTCGAACGTGCATGTGCCGATGGCTCTTTGGAAGGACTACAGAGTCTGCTCTTGCTAATGGTATATGGAATTCATAATCCCTCGTGCGGCATCAATGTCTGGAGCCTGAACTACCAATGCTTGGGCTCCCTTATTGACTTGGGTCTTCAGCGTGACGTTCGCGCATCCTCTACGTTCTCCATCTCATTCATGGAGCAGGAAATGCGGACTCGCATCTTCTGGGCTGTATACAGCTTTGATCGTACATTGGGCACAATGATGGGTCGACCGATCGGCGTGAGAGATGAGGCGTGTGAGCTTCGGGTAAGTGCTCTGATACGGCAAGCCTGTCCGATATATTTGGCTAATAGTACCTTCAGCTCCCTTCAGATGTCTCTGATGACCATCTCTCCGAGTCAAACTACACTGAGACCTCGGGGAACCCCATACCTTCTCACATGACATTCTCCATCCACCTGTTCAAACTCGCCCGCATCAACTCTGAGATTAAATATGTCATGCACAGCATCTGCAGAGATCCTCCCCGATACGCCCAACCACCGGTGCCCGATATCTATTTGTGGCAGAAAGAGATGATAGAACGCCTTCAGACCTGGCTTGCAGACATCCCCCGTGGAGCCGAGGGTGATACCATCATGAAAATATGTGAAACCAAGTATCACGAAATGATGATCTTACTGCTAAGACCTAGCCCCGGGATTCCCGAGCCATCGGAAGAGATGCTCGCGCGATGTTTTCAACACGCCGTGGATCTTATCCGCGGGTTTGGGGAGCTCTACAAACAGGAGGCCCTTTTATACAGCCGACTCATTGTTCACTCCGTCTTTTTGAGCACGCTCACAATGCTACATTGCTTGTGGAGACTGCCTTATGTTGCACTCGAGGTGCAGATTGATGAAGTGGTTGCTGACACGAGCATCAGTCTGAATATATTAAGCAGTATTGGAGAATACTGGGCTGAGGCTAAGCGTGCAAGGGATTGCATCCATGATTTATCCGCTGCGACTGTTCAGAGACTTATCAGAATGCGGAGCTTAGAATCCCCTTCAAGCTCGTCTAGGCAAGGCAAATGCCAATCAACTCCCGGCACAGCAAGAGCACAGCGGCTGCAGACTGGCAATGAGGGAATGGAGCTGCCTTCTCCACTTCGTGCTGACTCCAGTGCTGAAACCCTGCCATTGAACTTCTTTACGAATGATTATGGCTCGAACCATATTGATTCTACGAGCGGGCTGCATGATTCTATGCTCGGGGGCTTTATGGACTTTAGCGGAGCTCCGGACTTTGACACTCTCATGTGGGAGGTCTTTAATGCTAACTGAGGAGAAATGAAGTTGAAATATTATCATGTACAACATAGTATCCAAGAGAACTTCATAAGTCAATTTAGTTCGTTTGTCCAGGTCCACTAGCTAGAGTAAAGAGACAATCAAGTCAAACATCCTAATCACTCAGCTTGAAAAGTAACATTGACATTACTTTCGACGTCAATATCCTGAGGCGTGAGATCCAGCGGCACAGGGTCCTCAGTATGATTACCATAACTGGCAGCGACCATGTGTCTCTGAACTCTGTAAGGACTCATTCCTTGGTCGGCGATTTCCGCCACGTCAACAGCGCGTCCAATCACTTCCGAATAATCATCAGCTTGTTGGATAGCATCGCGCAGAGCCAATTTGCGCGCATCCGAAGCCAAACGTCTCCCGGTTTCGTCAGTGAGAGTCCAATCCAGACCGTCGATTTCCACCTTAGGATAGACCAGCAATTCCTCGATCGCGTAGTTCAGCTTGGCGAAATCGCGGAACTCGACTTTGAAGGATATACTGGCATGGTATGGGTTTGGCACAGGCTGATCATGTCTATCTGTTGATTTTGTCCAGGTTCTGATACTTGTGGATGAAAATTTCGTTATCGGGTCGAGATCACCGGTGGCAGAGTAAAATGTTGATTTGATCCAGTTTTGTAGGTTGGTCGATGATCTTGCCACTTCTTTGGCGACATTTTCTTGTTCGGGGCCATTTCCCTTTACTGAGAACCTGACGGTGCCACGTTCTGGGGGGTGGGCGATGGATGATTTACCCGTGACTATGATTTTCAGAGGAACCATGATGAAGTGAAGAGTTTGAATATCAGTCTACTGTGTAGTTGTATGTAGTCTACGAAGTATTTATAGGGAAAATCACCTGAGTGTTTGCCTAATGCCAAGCCCACAGCCCCCAATTCATCTGTATCATTTTCAATTTCAGATATTTCAACCTCCTAGGGCTATAACCTCCCTAAATGGCAATGGCATCTCAACTACCATTCGGCAAGAATGTATTTATTGACAATCTGCCGGATGCCGTTCGTCTTCTCCCAGCCTCTGCCCGAATGAATCATAAACTCGTGAGCCCCACAGAGGATATCCAAAGATTCTTGAAGAAGGATTTGATGGTCAATAAACTGAACCACATCGATAAATACCTGTGGCTGGCTGGTCAACCCATGCCGCCCAAGCCCTTAAATTACCAGATTGCAACCTCGCGCGAAATCGCCGTGGACGAGAGAATCGACATGCACATGGTATGGGAGCAGTCTCGGCGTATTCATCTAAAGCCACTACCGCGATATCTTCTCGATTCTCAATTTTGGGAGTCGCATCTTGTCTGTAAGGGACCCTGTTGTGATCCTACGCCAGGCGACCGTGTTACTCAAGAGCAGACGTGTTCGCGAGAGCTATACAAATGCGCTCTTGGTCATTTATCTTCCTATATGGCCCTTGTACAGTTTGAAAGTGATTTCTTAATTGCACAAAACTACCATCTATTACCAAAGTGTATCACCTGGGATATGTGGCTCAGGCTGAACCAGCAGTTGTTGAAGAACGACGCGACTAGCCCCGCGAACATCAACTCACGGTATTTATTTGGAGAGCTGAGATTGTCGCGACTAAACAAAATCTACGCAATTCGCTATGCTAGCATCTTAAGCGGCTACCAGTTCACCTCTCAAACATATGGTGAGCTGTTTTACGACCATCTTACTCCCCTGACTGCGGCCACCGTCTACGTTGCCTTGGTATTGACGGCGATGCAGGTTGGGCTGGCGACCGATCGTTTAGCCTTAAATCTACCATTCTAGGATGCTTCGTATGGATTTACAGTCTTTGCGATCCTTGGACCTCTGATCGGGATTCTGTTGGTCGGGATTATTGGGGGCTTTGCCTTTACCAATAATCTGATAGTGTCATGGAAATTCAAGCAGCAGCAATTTGCCATGTATTAACTGTCGCAAATGAGGAATCAGTTACCTTAATTTTCACCTAATTACACAAAATACTCATCCACAGGGAAATCCTAGACATCTCACATTCCACTTGACCTCAACATTAGGTACAGAACGTTAGGGAATGTGCAAAATCGCTATGATCAAATGTTATACATAGAAAAGTCGTCAACAAGCCTTTTTCCGCCATTTTTTGTCGTCGACCTATAAAACTGGCGCATCTAAACAGAGTGATATCTGAGACGACCAATAAAGAGACTATTGAAAAGACTACTAAAAAGTCTACTGAAAAGATATCACAAGACCGCTTATGTTGTACGCAGCCGACTATTCTTGTTTAGTATCCAGCAGGAGCACTAATCTGAACAAATCACTCCTCTGAGTAGCCAAAGTAACCGTGCTAATGTCAGAAATCACGGCAATTGTCTGCGAGCATATCTGCACGGCGCATGTCAGTTCCTGCGTGTGCCATTGGAGGCTGTGAGAGGCCTTGAATCTGAAGTCCTCTAGAACAAAGCCAATGGCATGCCTCTCAAAACTGAAGTATAGATAGCAGGATTCCATAGATCCACTTCAATTTAATGAACATAAATGAATCGGAATTCCGTTTCAAACTCGATAGTCAGGGGGACGACCCACCCACGCTATTAAATTAAGTTTCCCAGGTTGCCGGAAATAAAATAGTCAGCTGCACCCTCTGTTCGACGCTTAACTTTATCTTCAAACAACTTTGCAGATCAATATGGCTACCAATAGTCGCCCAACCATCCTAGTCATCCATGGGGCATGGCATCACCCAGAATTCTATGCCACCTTTTGCAAGGCATTCGAGGACTTGGGCTATGAAGCAGTTTGTCCTCGTCTTCCGACCTGCAACAACGATGTACCCCCTACAAAGAAATTGGCAGATGATGTGTCCCTCATCCGACAAACCGCACAGTCGCTCCTTGACAGTGGGAAGACCGTTATTGCTGTAATGCACTCCTACGGAGGAGTGGTCGGCACAGACGCCTTATATGGACTGGCGATTGACCAGCTGATTTACATGACGGCCTTTATACCTCCGACCGGAAACAGTCTAGCTGGCATGTTTGGAGGGAGTCTACCTCCTTTCATTACAGTTGATGTATGAAGTCCCGTTATATTTGAGCTAGGATGTGCGGAGTATGTTGTACTTACTGACTCCATATAGGACGAAGGAGGTCTACTAACTGTTCCTGACCCGGCAACTTGGTTCTTTAATGACCTTTCTCCTGCAAATGCCGCGGCTTGGGCCAAGAAGCTAGTGGTTCACCCGAAGTCTGCTCAATTCGACCCCATTACACACGAGGCATATCAGACCATTCCCACGGCATACATTGTGTGTGACAAAGATGCGGCTCTTATTCCAATGGTACAAGAAATGATGATCGAAAATGTGCGGAAGACAGGAGTCAATGTCGAGGTGGAGAGACTCTCGGCGAGTCACAGTCCTTTCTTGAGCATGCCTGAGGAGACTGCCAAGTTGGTGCTAAAGATCGCTAGATGGGGACTATGAGGAAACTTAGCCAGATAAAGCAATGGGAGATTCATCGGTTCTTCTTCGGGAGTTTTAGTGAGACGCCCCATGAACTGCGGATACCCAGTTAAAACTTTATTGTCCACCACAGACCAATCAACTGGCGAATTTTTATTGGAAAAATCTCGAAGGAAGCAGATGGGTCAACTCTAATAGTAAGATTGACCAATCGTAGCCAAGAATTATTATTAACCACGTCATCAATCTATTAAAGTATCACTCCGTGCCGAAAACGGATTATGTGTGAGACAAAATATATACAGTGGAAGTCTAACCATCAGGTGTAAAATGGGAGCTCTGAAACTTACAAAAATTTTATTGCAGATCTGATCTTCACATGGTATTTTGCAGCTAATGCATTAACAGATGAGTGTGGGCCCAATGTCCAAGATATATGTATAACATAGAATTTCATTCCTATCCTAAATTTTGTGCTTTACCTACCTCAATGGGCTTTTCGCATCTATAGCACAGCGCACTCTGTCTTCCGCAGTCATTTCCCCACGTTATGGGTGCCAATGGCCGTGGACATACATACATTGCTGTGAGCACTGCACTTGTCGTATTGTCCACAATTGTTGTTGGCATTCGCATTGCTGCACGATGGGTCAAGTCAAGCCTGGGATGGGATGACTACGCGATATGTGTTTCAATTGTTCTTGCATATAGCATGCTCGGGCAAGCCATTTTCTGTACCGTCCCCAAATCACAACAAAAAAACTCAGGACTAATCATGCATAGGGGCCCGAGATGGAGGACTTGGAAAGCATATGACCGAGCTAACTGCTCAAGAGAAAACTACCTTCCAACAGGCGAGTATCACGCTGAAGTAAAAGCCCGATACACTCTTAACACCAATTGCAGTGTTTCTTTGCAAACGAAATCTCATACACCCTCCTTGTCCCCACCATAAAAGTATCCATTCTTTTTCTTTATCGTCGAATCTTCAGCGTCCCCAAATTTCAACGTGCTAGTTTGCTCGCCGGCGGCTTAGTCCTAGCATGGTGTCTTGCAGTCTTCATCACCGTCCTCGTCCAATGTCGTCCGATTTCCTACAACTGGAACAAAAACCAGCGCGGCACTTGCATCAACGCGAAATCATTCTTCTTCGGCAACGCAATATCCAATCTCCTCATTGACGTGATCATCCTCGCTTTGCCAATTCCCATGGTTTTACAGCTCCAATTACGTCTATCACAGAAACTGACCATTCTGGGCATATTTCTGCTCGGCAGCTTGTACGTTTATCTAACTTATACCTATGGAATACAAGCTTATAGAGGGCAGTGTCTGTGTCGCGAGTGTCATGCGCGTGGTTACGCTCGATATCTTCAATGACGATACCTCATGTGTGTTTTGTCTTATTACTTTCAAATACGGTAACTAATGTCCGGTTTCTAGATTCTATCATGGAGGCCGCCACCTGGACCTTCGTTGAGCCTTGTGTTGGTATTATTTGCGCTTGTTTGCCGACTATGCGTCCGTTGCTGCGATCCCTGTTCTCTTCGTTCTCGTGGAGTACGGAGAATTCCAAGGACGCCCCTGTTGGAAGGAATTATGGGATGCAGCGGATGACTAGGTCTGGCAAGACTAATGAGGAAGCATGGGGTGACCGGTTCGACGATGAATATGCGTTGACCGCAGGAAGCTCGAAATCGAGGGTCCATGTGGATGACACTTTATAGATCTGATAGTAATATTGTACATTTGTCACAAATAGAAATTGACAGAGGCTGCGCCTTCCAATCTCAAATATCCCTATCAGGCGAAATCGTGATGATCTTAGCTGATTGGGTTTAGCTTATAATCGGAACGCTAATCTGAACCAAACATCCACTCTACGGAGTACAACCGCCATTATTATGCGATAGCTAATATATTGTGACAGATATCTACCTCCGCAATATCTTGGTGAAGCTTCCGTTCAACTTCAACCATCTCTCCATCAAACAGTTTACGAGAAATATGGCGGACCAGAGACTGTCGCAATTACACGCCGAGATGGAAAGCCACTCCCATCGAACGTTCTCCCCAAAACAGTAATTCCGCTGTACCTGGGAATAAACGCGGACGACTTCAGACTGTCTGATGCACGTGTAATTCTCAGCGACTCTGGCGAATCATATTCCCCATCATTAGAGACTCGCTGAGGAGAGTACTGTCATACACCACTTGTAGCACGCCCTCCAAAAGCTGGATTCGAACCTCAGGCTCCTCTCTCATACTCGACTGATATCTGGAGTCTTGCAATGGCAATCTGGGAGATATTGGGCATGAAGGCAATATTTGGTCATGAATTTGTCACAGAAGATAAGATGGTTTCCTAATTTATTCATGTGCTAGGGCCGATGCCTACGAGTTGGTGCGAACGCTGGGAGGAACGAGGAGAATTTTTTGATCAAGATGGCCTTCCACGGGAAGGGCGGACCGTGTGGCCTGAGCTTGAAGAGTCGTTTGAGCAGGGTGTACAGTACCATCGAAGAGACCTTCAAATGGGGGTATTTGGAAAGGAGGAAACACAGGCTATTCTCAATCTCATCCGTCAGATGCTAACATTTCAGCCGGAACAGCGACCAACAATCGAGCAGATTCTAGAATCTGAATGGATGATTAAATGGGTGCTACTTGACTTGGAGAGTTGCAGGAATATTAAATAGCCCAGCTTATCTTTTACTATTATACAACGGCATATTATAGAACTACTCTGAAACGGAACTATGCCGACCCATCTGCGGCCCCACCCCGTAACCCCATCCCGCGTCTATAAAAGAACCCCAACAGAACTTGGGATAGTCAAAATCACAAACCACAATCCCAGATCAGCTTGTAAAATAATCAAGAACACTACATTCACCTCCAAAATGTCTGAACCCAATCAACCTCAACAAATGCACAACATCCACCCAACAGACCTCCAAAACTTCGTCAAGCAAATCCTCATCGCAAACAACACATCACCAGCACACGCCGAAATAGTCTCCAAATGCCTTGTATCCGCCGATCTCCGCGGCGTAGATACACACGGCAGCAACCGAATCCCCTCCTACATGGAACGGATCCGGCAAAACGCCCTTGACCCAAAAGCAGTCCCAACAATCCGGCAAGTGACGCCTGCCGTTGCCCAAGTGGACGCGCACAACGGGTTCGGTTTCGTAGCCGCACATGAGGGAATGAGTCTCGCAATCTCAATGGCCCAGACCTTCGGCATCGGCATGGTATCCGTCAAGCACTCGAATCATTTCGGCATGTCCGCGTGGCTGGTGCAGCAGGCGCTGGAGGCTGATATGATGTCCCTTGTGTTTACAAATAGCTCTCCGGCGCTGCCTGTCTGGGGCGGGAAGGAGAAGCTAATGGGTGTGTCGCCGATTGCGTGTGGAGCTCCGGCTGGAGAGGGGAGGCCGTTTATCTTGGATATGGCGCCTTCTGTTGCGGCCCGTGGGAAGGTTTATAAGGCGCTTCGGCGGGGGGAGAAGATTCCTACGGATTGGGCGCTTGATAAGGATGGGGCGCAGACGGATGATCCCGCTGAGGCTTTGCAGGGTGTTATGTTGCCTATGGGTGGACCGAAGGGGTCTGCCCTGTCTGTGATGATGGATGTTTTCTCTGGTGTGCTTTCTGGGTCTGCTTTTGCTGGACATGTTACCAATCCATATGATCCGTCGAAGCCAGCTGATGTCGGGCATTTCTTGGTGGCTATTAAGCCTGATTTGTTTATGACTATCGAGGAATTCAAGGGGAGGATGGATTATCTTTATCAGCGGGTTGTTGATTCGGATAAGATGGCTGGTGTGGACCGAATCTATTTCCCTGGGGAGATTGAGATGCTTACTGAAGAGAAACGGTTGGCAGAGGGGATTCCTTTTGCCACAGCTGAGATCGAGAGCTTGAATCGAGAGGCTGACCTGGTAAAGGTTGAGCACCTGAAAGTACAGACTACCATGCAATAAGAGCATTTATAATCCATATTGCAAGGTCAATTACGTTAGATTACATTACATGTCAATTAACGAACTAGCAGCTTCAATATAGATATACAGCCCTTCGCCTAGCCATGAGATATTATTGCTGCTTTAAGCTAAGATTGTACTGACCACACTATTGGTCCTATAAAAAAGACTGAGAGCTAACAAGGACGAGGCATGAACTAGCTAAAAAGATTCCACCCTAAAGGAGACACGCATTAGGATACATAGACATTGAGGAGAATGATGCACAGAAGAATGTAAGTATTGTCACAATTGACTTATCGTTGACAGAGCCTCCCATAGAGGAACAAAAGCTAAGAGGGGACAATGAGAAGCGAAAAATAGGTTCAGGATAAAATGCTCTGAAGAACACGAATGAGGTCTCACTTTACAGCCAGAGATAATAGTAACAGGAGAAGGGAATGCAAGTCACAGGGGTAAAAACCGCGGGAAACAGAAAAAAAAAGAGCAAAACATTAGGAAGCAAGGAAAATGTGGACAAAGGAAATAAAAGAAATGCTAGATAATTAATCAAACACCCAACGGATGAAGAGGAATCGCTCCATGCATAAGAAGGGGGACAAAAAGCAGGGTATCACGGGGTATCCAAACAACCTCGCTGCTCTTTCAACTCGAAAGAAGCAGAATGATAGTTTGAATCTGCTTCTAAGATCAAAGCTTAAAGCATTGCTTGATCGTTTCAATCTCATTCGTCCTTTTGAGATGGAATATTGCTTTTTATGTAGTCAAATTGCAAATCAACGGTCATCAGCGGCGCGAGACTTGGCACGTCTTCGGAAAAAGTCCATGACTTTACGTGCTGCCCCAGAGCTACCGGAATGGTGAGACCCGTCGCGCTCATATTCGTAGGCGTCAGCGAATTTGCGGTGGTTTTTCTGCAAAACACCCGGCCCACGTCCTGATCGACTAACTTGCATCGATTGCCTAGGCACGCTGTCATACGGGCCGTTATAATCATCGTAGTAGTTGGGCTTAGACGAGTAGTTTTGGTGACCAGGGTGGTCTGCAGCGTTCTGGTAGACTTGTTCAGCTGAGGGGACTCCAAAGGAATCACTCTGGCGATCAAATTGAGAACCCAGGTCTGCAAACTGTTGATCAATATGGGCCTCGTAGCTAAGCGGCTCAGCTTGGGTATGAACATCCTCGCCAGGGCCCTCGTCGACTATTCCCATAGCATCTTGAGTGCCATAGCTTGTCGCCCGAGAACGACTCTGCGTCGGACCTGCAGGACCCGTGGCAGGGCGTTGCGGGGCATGGGGGTCGACGGGACGAGGGATCTGCGAGGTTTCTTCGGGTGTCTGAGCCCGGGTATTAGAGAAACCTCTGAATGAGAAAGATTGTGGGAGTAATGAGAATCGACGAGGACGGGTTTCCGCGCCAGCCTCACTTGTCTTGCGATTATGGGGGTGCTGCATAGAGCGGCGAGAATCCACAGACATTCGTGAGTTTTCCCTTGGTAGAGGCTCCTTCATGCTCACAGGTGGGTAACGCTTATCCTGCTTTGTGCGCGCGGCATTAGACTGCGTACGGCCACCCAATATCGAACCGGAACGACCGAAAAGCTTCTCGCCTAGGCTGGAAACGGTATTGGATCTCTTGTGGCCCTTTGGCGGCTCTTGTCGGGGAGTCGTATTGAATGTCGAAGGCAATTGCTGGTTCTGTGTGCTTGGACGACCGATAGATGTGCTGGATGTCTGAGCAGGATCCTGTGCAAGAGCAAATTGCCGGCTCTTAGGCTGTGCTAGGCGGCCTTCTGTGTTAGTTGCGGTAACAGTAGGAGCGACCGGTTGTCCATAGGAGCCACGAGAGGGCAGACGACCAGTGTTTCCAAAGGAGTTCATAGATCCACCAGTGGCTGGTCGAGGCCCTTGTGGCATTGCAATCGCATGCGACCCAGTCAGTGCTGCGTTGTCCGAGGTCGAGCGCGGGAAATGTCCTGGAAGTGGCTTGTTGAGGTTGGGTGCGGGTGTATCTGTAGGCTGGTGTGCAGCCTCTGTCGGCTGCTGCGCTGAAGTCGCAATTTGGGCCTCGGACGGGGCTGGGACTCGGCTGCGTGATGCAGACGGTTCCGCCGGAGGTTCTCCTCGGGTCGTTTGTGATTGCGGAGCGACATATTCGACTTGTACCGTCCTCCGCTTGGCGTCGCGGGGAGTTCTGGACTTTTCGGACGGCGGGTCTTGAGAAACATCTCCAGCATGATGGTTCAAACCACCAACAGCAGGAGCAGCGTTCTGATGGGTCTTCGGTGGTTCGCGCACTGAGGCACTGCGGACGAGAGGGGGTGCTTCTTTTTGGGTTTCTGTACATGTGAGTAGGTTGAAGCATGACCACTTGCAGAAACCAAGTCCTTACCAGAGGGGATAGTTGTGTTTGCAATATCCACAACGTTTGTCGTGCTGCTTGTGATGTGAGACACAATGTTCGAGAACTCGCTGAGCCAGCTGTGTCGGGCAACCTCGAACAGATCCGCGCGTTTCCGAGGATCGGGAACCAGTATCCGTCTCAATAGATCGCGTGCATGTGGTGTGACATATTCCGGGAATGTGAGAGGAGTGGTGACAATATATTTGTAAAGAAGATTAATATTGTCGCCATCTGGGTTCGCTGGGTCGTCGTCGAAGGGTAGGTACCCCGCCAGCATGGCATACTAGATTTCACAAACGAGTTAGTTCAAGTCAGATTCTCAAGGTTGTAGGGAA